CTCCAGGTGCTTGCAGACAGAGTCTATCCAGAATCACAGTGTGGATTTCGAGCTAATAGATCCACCACTGACGTGGTATTTTCCCTCACACAGTTGCAGGAGAAATGTAGGGAACAACGGCAGCCACTCTTTGTGGCCTTCATAGATCTTACAAAGGCCTTTGATTTGGTTAGCAGGGATGGCTTTTATAAAATACTTCCCAAGATTGGATGGCCACCTCGACTCCTTAACATCATCAGGTCCTTTCATGAGGAAATGAAGGGCACTGTAGTTTTCAGTGGCTGAACATCAGATCCTTTTGACATATGAAGCAGAGCAAAACAGGGCTGTGTCCTTGCGCCGACCCTGTTTGGGATCTTTTTTACTGTCATGCTGAAGCACGCCTTTGGAACTGCAACAGAAGGTGTCTATCTCCGGTCTCGATCAGTTGGAAAGCTCTTTAATCTCTCTGGATTGAGAAGGGCACTGTAGTTTTCAGTGGCTGAACATCAGATCCTTTTGACATATGAAGCAGAGCAAAACAGGGCTGTGTCCTTGCGCCGACCCTGTTTGGGATCTTTTTTACTGTCATGCTGAAGCACGCCTTTGGAACTGCAACAGAAGGTGTCTATCTCCGGTCTCGATCAGTTGGAAAGCTCTTTAATCTCTCTGGATTGAGAGTGAAGACCAAAGTCCATCTGAAATGCATGCGGGACTTTCTCTTCGCTGATGGTGCAGCCATGGTTGCCCACTTTGCTGAAGACCTCCAACAACTCATAAATCGTTTTAGCAAGGCTTGCCAAGACTTTGGACTAACAATCAGCCTGAAGAAAACACAAGTCATGGACCAGGGCATGGACTCACCTTCCTCTATTACCATCTCCACACAAGAATTGGAAGTTGTTCTCTGTACTTTGCTCAGCGATCTCTGACACTCTCTCCCTAGATGTCGAGCTGGATAAACGCATTGGTAAAGCAGCTACCATGTTCTCTAGACTCACAAAGAAAGTATGGCTTAATAAGAAGCTGACGGCATATACCAAGATCCAAGTCTATAGAGCCTGTGTCCTGAGTACACTCCTGTACTGCAGTGAATCCTGGACCCTTTGTGCACAGCAGGAGAGGAAGCTGAACACGTTCCATATGTGTTGTCTCCAACACAAAATTCCAAATAGAATAGTCCTGGAATGAGCTGGAATTTTTAGCACGTATACATTACTGAAACAACGGCGTCTACATTGGCTCGGGCATGTCATGAGAATGGCTGATGGTTGGATTCCAAAAGATCTCCTGTATGAAGAATTAGTGCAGGGAAATCACCCCAGAGGGAGACCACAGCTGCGATACAAGAATATCTGCAAGCGGGATCTGAAGGCCTTAGGAATGGACCTAAGGAAGCAGTCCCAAAACTAGCCAAACTAGGGAGCTGGACAGGGGACAGATTGTATTTGTTTTCAGTATGGAAGGGATTATCACTCTTGAATTGGCCTCAGCCAAACTAACGCTGAGAATATGCAGAGCACATTACCATAGTCTCTTGAGACTGAAGGATGCCTAATCTAATCATTGCCAGGCACAACTAGCAGTAGGAGGCCTTTTCTGTCACTGGGGCCCTCTGCTTCTATGTTACTTGATTTAATACCAATTTAAATACTGGCATTGATTTAATATTTAAAGGTTAATAATGTAAGAGTTCAAGTTACAATGTAATAATCTTAAGAGTTCAAGTTACAATGTAATAATGTAAGAGTTCAAGTTATAAAAAATTGGTTATTTTTAAGCAAACCTGGCTTAGTACTAGTAAATAAGCATCTGAGACATGCTGTCTGCTTTCCTTTCCCCACTTCCCAGCTATGTCCACATGGCAATTAGATATATAATTTGGTTTGTTAAGCCCAGGATGTTGCCTCCTTCTTTCTGCACCTTTGAGAAATTAAGGAACTAAGAAATTAAGCAGGCGGTGTCTCAATAGGACAAGCCTATTGAGTATATCAGTAGTCCAGAAGAAGCCTCCTCTCACTGCTACCACCAACAACAACAAAGCAGTTCTGATCCATTGTTATTACGTAAGCAGCACCTGCAATGATTTTCCTTAACTGAAATGCTAAACCATAGTACTAAATGCAATTGTTAGTCAAGCCATTGAATCAACAGAATTTATAGAAAAGGGACTTAACAAGGGACTTAACAAGTCCCAGACATTCAATGGGTTGCCATAGTTGTGCTGCTTAAAGCACAGCACAGTGCAACAAAACATACAGGTTCTGGCACTGACAGGGTAACCTGCTTCAAAGAAAAACAGGCATTCTTTCTGTTTTGATAGTTCTACAGAAGACAAGTGTGACTTCTTATTTATGTATGTGGGAAGAATGCATTAGTGGAATGGCCTCTTGTATATACCTACAAAAGTTATAGGGCCATTCATCCGTACCACCATCAAAGCAGTCTGTGGAAGTTGTAGTTTTTATGGAAAGTGTTTTGGCTTTTAAAATGCAATCATCTGGTAACAGGTTTCTCAGACTAAATTTTCATAATGATTTGAGTGAGACCAAAGTACAGCTAATTTAATCTGTATCCAACCAATTGTTAATGTGTAATTTGAAAGCTGATGTGGGCATTTGAGGGACTATATAAATTAAAACCAAAGACATGGAAAGCTGCATTGTTCTTCTGTGCAATATAATGTTTTAAGTTAAACAATCAGATTTTATTTGTACCTTGCTTGCATCTGTGTGCTTCCATAAGAAGGTTGCTGTAAGAGCCTGAAGTAGCCCTGATTGTGAGAAAGCATGATTTCCTTTTATGTCTATACTGTTTCAAAAAATAGTCATTTGTGTATGACCATAATGAAAAGAGTTAGACATTACTGTTTCTTGTACGTTTAAAAGAGTAGGAAGTTTTTCTTTCTTTCTGTTGCTTGATTGACTTACAATGGAAATATTCAACTTTCCAATTAATTATTTTTGATAAATATAACTGCAGCCAGCTGGACATCTGCCAAGAGCAATGGTTGAAGGATAGGGACGTTGGAAGGCAATATAGTATTGCTTTTGTTGGAACAATGGGGCATTAATCTTTGAGTATTGTGTAGTACTATCTGCTACCATTATTCCATAAAAACATACTGTACGTAATAAATGGCTAAGATCAGCTGAGAGTCATTACTATGCATTAAGTTTTTGAAAGGAGAGTTCTTATTTACATCAGTATCAGTATGTGAAGGATTAATTTATGGAAAATACTTGTTTCTGGGGAAAAATCTTGAATTAGTTAATTAGTCAAAACCAGCAATTCCATTTGCTGAGAAAGTCTGCTTTTTTCTTTGAATGCAAGGCTTTTCATCGTCCAAGCTCTGAAAATTTAAAAGTGTGTATTCTGACTCTGAACAAGTAAGGTATAACTGATCTTCTAGTTTAAGGACTTAAGAGCCGTGCAGTATGATCAGTATCCACTCAGTTTTACTTTTCCCCCCGAGGATACCACCATAGTCTAGGTGGTCCACTACAAATTGTTCAGTAGCCCACTGCTGCTGACTTCACATTATTTGACAAGGCTCTGGTTCTTATTCTAATCCATTCCATGATGTTTTCCCTAGGTGCCTACATGCTATTCCATATAAACCTTTTGCAAATTATCCAGAACCATTTAATATACTTCTTATACATATTGGATTTACTATTTCATAATCTGTTGCTTTAGAAGTTTGATAGTGTGTGGTTCTGGTGATATTATGTACTGCATAATTTATATGAAAGATGGCCACTGATCCCAAAAAATAATAATCTGATAAATGGCCAAAATCCTTTTAGTTATGCCCTCCAGTGTAATGCAATTCATGTAAATCTCATTGATGAACTGCCACAAATCAAGAAGCTATTGTAAGAATTAAGTCACACAACTCGGTATGCAACAGCAAGTGCCTCTGCTAACTTCTGAGCTTGCAGCAGTGCCTCTGCTAATTTCTTAAATTGCAGCAATTTGTCAGCAAGATTTATGCCAATTGTGTTACACTAGTAGGTGTAACCAATGGACTTTGGCTATTGTTTTTTAATGAAGTGTGTCTGTCCATCTTGTTTTTCTATTCAGAGTGCACAGTGTATTTTACACAGCAGCACAGCCCTTCAGTTATAACAGTGGGACCAGAACATTGGAGGCTAAAGTTGTGCCATTTGGGATTTTTTTGGATCCCAACTCCTAGAATTCTCCAAGAATTCCCCAGTCAGAACTCAGGGAGTTCCAACCCACATATCTACACCTACATTTCACTCAAGAAGCTGCCCTGATCCTACCCGTGAGTCCTAGGGGTATCTCGGAAGTGAAATCTCACTGTTAGAGGCTTCATGCACAAAGTGCTGCTGTCCAGGATGAGTCCTAGGGGTATCTCGGAAGTGAAGTCTCACTGTTAGAGATAGGGGCTTCATGCACAAAGTGCTGCTGTCCAGGTGTTTCTGATTCCTCTCCTCCCTCCCCAGCCACCCAGTCCACTTATCAGGCTGCAACGGCAGCCAGGGTCCTTCTGCATTGGCAGAACATCAATCAGCAAACTAATAAACACTGGAGCCCAATCAATACTGTTCCTACCTCCCCAAGCAGTCAATCACTCCTTGGCTGCATGAGGAGACTCTCCTTCCCATCTCCCCACTAGAGAGGTTGGCCTGGATTCTGCCTGGAGAATTCTAGGAGTTGGAGCCCCAAAAATTGAAATGACACATCCTGATCAGAGGCATCAACTTTATCAGTATTTAAATTCCTAAGGATTATAGATTGTAGGTTTGCTATATCGCTCCATGGAATAGAGAATTATTGTACCCACTGGTGGAAAATCTAAAGCATTTCCACCTCTCTGTGTGCACAATGGTTTGACTAAAATTCATGTGTATTCTTACTCAGATTTCAGTTCATTGTAATCTAGGTTTTAAGTATATAAATGCAGCAGCCTAATTATTGCCACTTCCTGAGTGGTTGCAAGTAGATACACTATTGGATATTGTCATAATGTATGTGTATATGTTTCTTTTAAGATAACGAAATCGTGGGGAAAGCAGAAGATTTGTTACCATGCAAGATTTGTGGGAGGACTTTTTTCCCAAATGCATTAGTAAGTACAAAATCAGGTAGCTTAAATTAAGAGTGAGAAGTGATTATGTTTGTTAAAATGAAGCAGTTTTGCACATCTTTTACCAGTTTGTCTTATTCTCTAGTGTTAATAAATCAAATTTAAATATTTGAATTCTGTGTGTGGATTATTTATCTAGTCAGATTTAGTTACTCTTTCCATAAAGCTGCTGACTAGCAAGTTCATTACATCTCTAAACACATGCAAGGAATATAACAGGAACTCCTGCGCTTGTTTATCTGTCTAGCAACCTGCCCAGTGGTTTTATCCTATATGAATACCGTATGAGCTTTATTCCCACCTCTCCTTCCCATTTTTCATAGTAGGAATGTCTTGTAACTGGAGAGGAGAAAAACTCTGTCCAGATATAAGTGTTGCATTTATTTCCTCTTCTGCTCACAGAGAAAACATGTCCCCATTTGCCAAAAATCTGCTAATAGAAAAAGGAAAACATTTGATTCCAGCAGACAAAGAGCTGAAGGGACTGATATTCCGACCGTAAAACCTCTGAAGCCACGGGTAAGTACATTAATGTTAAGATATCAATATTTTAAAAAAGGATCCCTTGTTCAGTGACTGGTTGTAAATATGCTGTGTACTTTGGGAACTTACCAGTCAAAAATATAATCACCCCAACAAGACTAAGGGGTGTATCTAATGTAATCCTCCAGTTTTCCACAGACATGAAATACACGTGTTTGTTAAGATAGATAGGGAGAGGATTTGTATGAGATGTCACACTTTCTCTGTAGCCTATACTTGAACCCACAAGCACATTTAAACATGTTTATGAATAACCTGCCTTTCTTATCAGATTACTCATAAACATGTCCAAAACCACTTATTATCAATGACATACTGGAATTGAAATATGGAATCTAAAATCATTGACCCTAAATCTAAGCTTGTTGAGTCATAAGTATATTTACTGAGTTCAATAACATGTACTTTCCTAATACTGGAACTATGTCGATTCTTATGTTACTGTGTTGAAGGTATGCTAATCACCTATTATATGAGCCAATCCATATGTTCATACTTTCCCTTAGCTGGAAATACCTAATATTTCATACTAGCTAGTTGTTGTCAAGATCAATTGGATTAAGATTCCATCAGAATGGCCACACCACAGACTCCTGAAGTACAACAGGCAACTCTCCCTTACAGAAAGAAACCTTTTCCAGACCCTGGACCTTCATGGCCATATCCTTATATCTGGCTCTGATAATCTAGGAAAGGGTGAGGCCCTCCAGGAACAAAGTTGGACCCATGAGGGGAAATCCCAACCATATGGTTGGATTTGTTTCATGTCCTCATACTGCATCAACTGAGGGTGATTCCGAATAATTGAGCTAGATGTAGAATTAGACTTGTTGGTTGTACATGCCACAATAATAGTGTAAAGGTCACGGTAAATATGAATAATTTTGTCCTTAAAGTGCTTAAGAAAAAGGATGACAGCAGGTCTCCAAAGGATCAACATCTTTATTGCAAGAGCAGGTATTGATAATAGTTCAGTAAGAACTCCACTCAGTGGTTACTTAAGAATACATTGAAGGCACTAAAATGAACATTTTTGTAGCCATGTAATAGGCACACTTATATATTCACATGTGTATTTAGTTTCACACCAAGTCTTGTACCATTTTCACTGGATATCCTCCAGCCTTTTTCCTTGCTTGCAGTTTCATGAAATACCAGGTTGCTGAACAGGTGTCACAGTCTAGAGAGGGTCTTTATTTATTTATTTATATCAGAACTTTGCACAATTTAAAATTATGGATGTATTTGAAATATACGTAAAATGGAAAACAAAATAAAAAGTTATGATAATTAGACTGTTAGAAGTGTTGCACTGGAGAGGGTAATCAGGTGCAATTTTGTCCATATTCTTTGCACCTTACATTTTGAGACTAAGACCTCAACAGTATTGCCAGTTCTATCACTGGAAAATCTCCAGAGCATTCAGGAGTCCAATTCCATTAATCTAATGCAGGAACCAGTTATGTGTCAAACTATCAATAAAAACAGAAGGATGCAAACCTTTTATTTAGAAATCAAAAGCATACCATACGAATTTCTTAGGAAAAATTAAACATATTTTTTCTGTATTTGTTTACTAACTCTTCCCAACTTCCCTACCAAGGAGCTAAGTATAGATTTTATAGCTATACTTTTACCAAGAGACAATATGACTTTATGATGAAGGAAAGATTTATATTTAATGGTGTATTTATTATTGCATACAAGACTGGAGAAATCAGTTGGATTAGATTGTAAATAGGTATACTGTTTCTGTTGTCTCCATAGCCAGAGCCCGCAAAGAAGCCATCAAACTGGAGACGAAAGCATGAGGAGCTCCTAGCAGCTATACGAGCAGCCAAAGGAGTTGATCAGGTTCTTAAAGAAGGTGGAAAACTTCCTCCTCCTCCACCACCTACATATGATCCTGGTATGTAAAGTGAAAGACTCACAATATGGACAAATGGCAACATCTGTCCATGCAGCATGACTTCTGAGTGGCTAGAGAGGCACTTCCTGTGTTTCTTAAAAGCTTAAATGTTTGCGCTGATCACAAACAAATGAATGCACCGTTGAAATCAGTATTCAGTCGTGCTTGTTGATGCAAGCAACATGAGAGTGAGTACTTCCTTCCATCCACACTTCTATTGTCCTCTGTCTGTGGAGGTGATGGGTCTAAAGCAGAGATGGGCATGAACTGCAGTTTAGCCCGGTTCGGTCTGGAACCTTCACAAATATTTTGCGGGCACTGCACACTTCCCTCCCCCGCCTTCTCTGGGCAATCACCCACTCACCACCAGCAGCATACTTCCCTCCCCTGCTTCCTCCAGATGATTGCTCACTCACTGATAGCAGCATGCTTCCCTCCTCTGCCTCTTTCGGGTGATCTCCCATTCAGAGGCAGCGCCACAGGCTTCCCTGCCTCACCTTCTTTTCTGATTGAGGCGGCTGCTGGAGGGGGCAGAGAAGGGAAGCATGCTGCTGCCAGTGAAAAGGCGATCACCCAGAGGAGGCGAGGGAGGGAAGCCTGCTGTGCCCACAGAACACCTGTGCAGGTGCTGCATCAAACTGGACTGAACTGTGGTTCATGCCCATCTCTAGGAGGAGAAGAGCTTCTGCTGTCTATGAAAGCTTACCATGAGAATTAGTACCCTGGAAAATCATGGCTCTAATTCACATGCAGAATTTCCATGGAGTCTTCCTGGTTCAAAAGTGCACTTTCCACGTATAGCAAAGCAGTGGAAATGATCAAGGAGGGGATGGGGTTATCATGATTTTCCTCCTCCTATGTTCATTCAGTATGCTGGAAACATGGCTGAGTAGGACTTGGGGCTTAACCTTTTCCTCCTCCTGTGTTCATTCAACATGGCTGAGTAGGACTTGGGGCTTAACAGTATTTATCTATTTAAAATATTTTTACCACGCCTTTCTCCTTAAAGGTCCCAAGGTGGCTAACAGCTGTATGATGTTAGCATGCTTGCTTGAGGTAACATATATCTGTGTGCATCTGAAATTTGTTTCTAAATTCGGAGAGTAAGCTTGTCAGGAAGAATGGATGAAAAAATAGTTTAGAGTGGGTGCTACTATTGCTGCAACTCTTGTTTTCTTCCTTATTTGCAGAATTTTAATGCCTTTTTAATATGGACGTCACAGATGTGCATGGCTATGAACCTCCTTTGTTTTGTCATTTCTTCCATACTGAATCATATCTGTCTTTGAAATTCTGGAAAGAGTTGTATGTGTCTGCTTTTGAAGGGGAGAGAGAGATAAGCACTCAAAGCCACCTCCAGATTTCTTACCGCACAGTTTATCTGGACATTTTAAGACTTGAGATTGTCAAAATATGCCCATGGCGTTAAAAATGCAGAATTGAAAGAAGCCTGCAGTTGAACCAAAAGCCAAGGTTGATCTGCTATACATTTAATTAAGTTAAGTTGGGTGAAAACGTTGTCCTCTGGATGTTGTTAGACTGCCTTTCCATCAGCCTTAACAAACATAGGGAGTGGTGAAGGATGATGGGTATTGGAAAATCAACAACATACGGAAGATCACAGTAGGTTTCCCATCACAGAGTAACATCTTTTGTCTTGGAGTGAAGAGTGAGGAGACAGAAGGTATAGCAGCAGAAGTGGTGGCGGCAGAAAACTGGCATCAAGTTTGACAGAACACAGGCTCAGCGTCAATTGAAGATGCAGACTTTACCCCTGTCTGATAGCAACTCCTCCCCTTTATTTAGTAATATATATTTCTCACACTATATTGGTAGCACCATCTTTTTCAGGTAGTTAAGCATCTCTTCCAGTTGGGCTCTGAGCATGAACAGAAAGAACTTGTGTCTATTATTATTTATTTGCTTTATACTTTGCAAATGATCCTCAAATCTCTTCCAGCTTCATTTCACATTGACTGTGGGGCCCTGTATTGGAAATGTAATTTATACAGCATTTGTGTTTATTTGACTAGGTTCCTGACCATGTTTTTTTTAAAAAAGCACAAATCTGTTACCTGCTTGCCTGATTCTTAACCAGCTTGGGTATCTGAAATTGTTAATGGATTGGATGAAGGTGAATAACCTTAAGTGCAAACTTACCTGAAACAAAAGAGAGGAGTTGGTGAGCAATAAACCACAAACACATTCTCTGCTCTGGAAGCTCATATCTCTTGAAATAGCAGGTCGACAATATGCAGGTGCTCCTTGACATGGGAGTATATCTGGATCCTGGATGTCATCTGTGAAGACAGTTGCCTTTTTCCAGTTTGGGGTAGTCTGTCATTTAGGCCCTCTTTCTTTATGTACTTTTAAAAATTATCTACCTCCCCACCTAACTTTGTTTTTTATATCACCTGAATTGTTCTTGACTTGTCATATATTATTTTTGAATACAGATTATATCCAGTGCCCTTATTGCCAGAGAAGATTTAATGAAAGTGCAGCTGACCGACACATCAGTTTCTGCAAGGAGCAAGCAGCACGTATTACTAATAAAGGAAAAGTAGTTACTGATATTAAAGGGAAGCTTCCTACTCGAACACAGGTAACATTAATTGTTCCTCCACATCAAATTTGATTGTTTAGCTGAATCAGTAACACTTTTCCCCATTGAGACCTTGCTTGAAGTTAGGTAATGGAACTTTACAGTTCTGATTCTTTTGAACAAATAAGAAACAAGAACAGGATTGACATGATCTAGGATGGGGAAAGACAAGTACCGGTAATATATGCAACACAATTACAGATCACTAGTTAAACCTTTTGAAGGTAAACAGAGAATCTTGAACTATCTGTTATCTATTTTACAAGACTGAGGACCAAAGAATCTCAACAGGTTTCTGACTCATCAAGGATGTTAGCCCTTGTCTTTTGTATGCAAGTTTAATGCAGATTACAATCATATTGCTCGTACATAATACCTATGCATAAAAGAAATACATTTCTGCATGTATTTATGAAGAAAAGAAGTTTTATGTCCAGCAATTAAAGTTTTGTGCTTTAGGGCTTTTCAAGCTTTTAAAAACAAAATGACATACTTTCAGTGTAAACAAGTGGACAGCCTCCCTGAAACATGGGGATGAGATAAAGCCTAGGGACTGAGTCACCATATCAGTCATTGCTATGTATTGTCTTTTCCTTGCACATAAAGCTAGGCTTCCCTACTAGGGAGTTCAATAAATACAGATTTTTTTTTGATCAAACGAAGAAAACAAGAACATGTTGGATATCACCCCCTCTGCATTTTAAGGTATATTGTAAACATCCTAACAATGAGGAGCTATCAATTTTTTCAGAAGATATAACTGAAGTATTGCACTTAGTCTGATTACAGTATTAAATAATTGCTTTGGTTTTCATGTCATTTCAGTACAAGCTGCCAGCAGTAAAGAAGATGCCTTCCACTGGAATAACACCACCTGCCTCATCACGCTTACCCCAACCAAGTAATATGCTTTAAAAATGTTTCGGATATTGTATATCAGGGATACCTGAATAAATACTACTATTGGTCAATATCTAACAAGAGCAGCTATACTGAAAATGTAATCATAAGCAACTTGGAATAAGAACAGATAGATGCTTTTGCATTTGTAAAAGCTGAAATATGTGATCTTGAAAGGAACAGTACAGTTGTCATGGGTTTTGCTTTTCAGGCAAACATCTGTTATTTAAGGGCGAGGGTTGAGGAGCATGTGCACTGCAATTAATTCTTTTTATTTCTCATTGTTGGCTATGCTCTCTGAGGCCACTGGAGTTGCAGTCCAGCAACACTAGAAGGGCTGCACATTTTTATCCTTGTCCTAGATGAGCAGGGGGGGAAAAGTGAAATCTGCTGTTTTGACTATACATGTGGTCACTCTTAATTCCATGTGCTGCCTATTATGGTGTCTTCTCCTGGTCAGATAAGACTGGTTTGAGCAAAGAACATTGTGGAGACTGGGTAGGAATGTGAAGAGAAAATGAAGGCTTGCAGACTGTAAGGTGAACTGCTGATACAGATTTACTTAGAACAGTGGTTCTTAACTTTGGGCAACTAAGGTGTTCTTGGACTGTAACTCCCAGAAACCCTGGCCTGCACTGCTGGCAGTGAAGTCCCAAGAATGGATTACCCATAGTTGGGAACCACTGGCTTAGAAGGCTAGTAATGACCTTCTAAATGAAGCAATCTAGAATAGGGAATCACATAGAGAATTCGACTTCAGTGCGAGAAAGTTGGTTTGAAATTAACAAAGTTATGTGTCACCTTTAAGACTAGCAGATTAATTATAGCATGAGCTTTTTATGAGTACACAGCCAACTTCTTCAGCAGCATGGAGTCCATGCATCTGAGGGAACCATCTGCCTGGGCTCCTATTTTCCTAACCAAAATACTCACTCTTAATTTCTTATGCTTTCAGAACCTTGGGTCGTATATGTTTTTTGGTTTTATTGTTTTTAAATTTGTAAACCACCCAGAGTAGACCTTTGGTCTATATGGGCAGGATAGAAATCCAATAAATGCATAAATAAATCTCCCAGGTTAGGGCAGTGGGAAAAGTGGACACAACTAAGGTATCTCCTTTTTATTTCTTCCAGTGAGGCTAATAACAACCTTAAATGTATCAGGAGTAGCAGAATTAAAGCCCTTCTCCAGCACTGCTCTTTCAACTCCTTTTATAAGGCTTTGTGTTTGCTTCTATTTATTTATTTATTTAATTAGACTTCTGGTGCTTCGCATCATGCATAGGTTGGCTCCATGAAGTGGGTATGGGGGATTTCTAGAGACAGAAATGATTGTGGTTTTTATTGTCTGTATTGAAAGGTACACCTGCAAATAAAATACCATCTCAAAGTGTGCCCATGGGAAGCAAAATCCAGAGTTCCTCTCCAGCTCATAAAAATTTGGCAAGGAATAGCCCACAATCAGGGTAAGTGTATTGTGAGCACTGTGACATCACCATGCTAATGGAAAGGAGTTCCTTGAATTTAACATATCCACCTTCTCATTTCTTCAGTTACCCCTAGGGATCCCTGAAAATACTACACAGCAAGTTGGGATTTCCTGCTGAATGGGATCAGCTGTGGCCTGGGGAGGGAGACTGAAGGAAAAAGAATATTTGCATAAATAGAACCTCCACCAATTGGCTGGGGGGGTGTATTTCCCATACCAAGCCTACCCCCCCTTCTTTGTAGTGGGCATGGGGTGCTGCCAGGGGAAGGAAGGAGAGAGGAAGTTTCCTTCTAGAAACCCCCTTTTCACCAGTGTGTTACACACTGCTGAGGAATTAGTAAACATGTAAACATTTATTCCTTGTGATGTCAGCTTTGTGAAATATATGTCCTGACTTATTTGGATAAGAGTATTGTGACACCTTAAAGTATTATGTGACATAAATAAAATGGACTGCAGTCCAATTCATCAGATGGAAATGTACTGGAGATTTGCATCATGTACGTTAATAGTCTTGACACAAGACTCTTTTTTTTTGGCAATAGTCTAGCATTGCTATCCCCTAGGGAAAGTCTTGTGTATGAGAAACTATGTTTGGTAGAAACAGATCTGGGAAAAGAAGGGAAATGAAGGAGACAATGACTATGATACTGCAGAGCATCTTTTGCTGGGAAATGGAGCCCCCACCCTCTTAAGATTTAGAAGCAACGTGCCTCTGAGCATGTTCAGATATTATGGAGCAGCAGCAGCCAACATCTTCATTTGACAGTTAAAAATAAAGATCAGAGCTGACGGGTTGACTCTGTATCTTCCTTGTGGTCACTCCCATCAGCCAGCATACCTCCTTCCTGCGTACCTCCTTCCTGCCTTAACCAATTCTCAGCCTCCTTTTCCCATTTTTTCTTATTAGAAGCACACATTTATAACTAAGGAATGTTATGACCACAAGCACTTATGTTTTATTTCTAGAGGTAAACCCACCATTTTTTTACTCCATGCTAGGGATTTAAATGCTTCAAGGAACTGCAGTGATCCCCCCCTTCATTCTGTGATTGGGAAATGTACATCTAAAAGTGTTGGATGTAAATTTTGTAGCTAGGACAATTAGTGTAAAACTACAATTGCTGATGCTTTGTTGCTTGGACTTTTAATGATCTGAAGCATCAGATGGGTTGTTTGTCTTTTTTAAAAAGCAGCTAGCCCTCTGGTGCTTGCTGTGTCTGTGTGTGATGTGATTTGCTTGTTGAAGGGAAAGAACACAAAGTTTACACAGACTGGCATAGAATATTATGCACAAATTCTATAAAGCTTGACAATGCAAAAAGTTCTCTTTGTCTCATTATTTCAGTGATGAATCTTGCAAAGGCTTGAAAATTTCTAATCCAGGGGTTTTGTCATGTCAAGGCACCCCTAATCAACAGGACAAATGTAGCCAGTGTTCTTCACATCCCTACTCCACGTGTAGTTCCACTCCTGCTGTCTAGTCAGTTTCCAAAAAGCAGGCCCTCCTGAGGTTTCTCAGAAAATAGGTCTGTCTGCAATGGGAATGAGTCAGCATTCAACAGGCAGTTACTGACTAGAAGGAACTTGGGGTTTCTTTTCAGGGTATGGACTGGAGGCAATAGCTGCAAAGTCTTTGCAACCAGTGCTTCTGAGTTCCAGGAAGAGACTGTCACTGTGAGAAAGTTCAAAAAAAGGCCATAGATTTGCATGTGGATAGGGAAGAGGCAGACAGACGTGGCACAACATTTAAAAAAGCGAGGCTACTGCTCTGTTCATTAACAGAAATCCTTACAGGTACTATATGCTACAGAACACAGATTCCTTTTACCAGAATGCACTCCAGGTTTTACCAGAAGCACAATCAAATTAGAAGTATAATCTATGACTTCCCTCTGGACATGTGACTCTTGAGATTTCCTAATGATTGCTTTACTTTGCCTCTAGTATTGTTTGCTACTTCCATTATATGCTGTTCTTTCTAAAGGCACCCAGAATGGAGTACTACACAAAGACAATGCATATGCAGTACACTCAACAATAAAATGTTCTGTATAAATGATAAAAAGCAAAAAAAAAAAAAAATCTAGCCACAACCTAATATAAATGATAAAAAGCGAAAAAAAAAAATCTAGCCACAACCTAGATAATTTTATCTTATATACATTCCAGTACAGACATGCTTGCTACCTGAGTGCTGGAATAGCGGTTCCTAGCATCCAAAGCCTGCTAAAACAATTCTGCCTTATATCCCTTCCTGAATCACTGCAGGGAATATCATATTTTGCAGGGACTCTGAGAGAGAATTCTAGAGCCTGTAGCATGTAAATGATTTTCTTTCGATTTATCATTTGGATTTCATTTTACTCTAGAGACAGCATTTCTCATTCTGTCATAGGTAGTGTTAATGTCTTTAAATTGCAGGTGCTTTCTGTTACAGCATTAGGTGAAATGATTCCAGGAGGCTCAATTGCTTGAGTCATCTGGCACCATCTGTTGTTTAGACACTCTGGGCATGTCTTATGAATGACTTCATCAGGGTTTATTGCAGCTCTCAGCATGTTGTAATATGGATTGTGTGGGTTAGTTTTAAAGGATTAATTCTGAAGGATTCTAATTCATTAAGGCAATGAGTTTGACCCGGTCACTTTACCTTTCTATCCTGTCCAGCTGAGCAGCCTCCACTGAAGAAGGAACTACAGTTTAGGCAGACCCCTGTGCCTTACCTTAAGTGGTTTAACGGCAGCCTCCACTGAAGGAACTACAGTTTAGGCAAACCCCTGTGCCTTACCTTAAGTGGTTTAACAGCAGCAAAGGAAAATTGCTACATGTCTTACTTAGGCACTACTTCAGATTGTCACCAAAAAGGTGACTACTAGATCTTTTGAATTTGAATTTACTTTATTGTCATTGTGTTTCCGTACAACAAAATTAAATGCCATCTCCAGTACACATAATAATAAAACACACAAGAACATAGTATCCATAACATGAAAACATGGCACATTACACATGAAACACATCCTTCTCATTCACATCCATATCCTTCATTCAATTTCCCATTGCACAACACATTAATATTGCACGATACAATGGAATTCAGTATAGCTGCAGATCTGGGATAGAAACTGTTTTTCAAACTATTTGTCTTTATTTTAATTATCCTATAGTGCCTACCATATGGTAATAATTGAAAGAGGATATGGCCCGGGTATGATGGATCTTTGAGAATATTTTGGGCTTTCTTAAGACAACGGGAATTATAGAGATCTTCGGCAGCCAATGATCCTCTGGGCCATTGTAATAATTCTCTGGAGCATTTTCCTATCTGCATTGCACAGTTAGCAAACTATATACCAGAGCAATAGGTTAAAATACTCTCTATGATACAGTGGTAGAAGGTTACCAGCAGTTTTCCATTCAGTCGTTGTCTCCTGAGAAGTCTCAGGTAATATAGTCTCTACTGGGCCCTCTTAACCACTGCTGTAAATATGAGCACTCCAGGACGCTCTTTATCATCCTCCTTGATGAGAACGCCCAGAAACTTAAAACTGGTTACCCGTTCCACTTGCACTCCTTATAATCCAGGGCTGAATATCTGATTTATTTCTTCTATAGTCTACTATAAGCTCCTTGGTCTTCTTGATGTTAAGGGTCAAGTTGTTATCTTCACACCACATGAGCAATCGATTCACTTCATCTTCATCCCAAGAAGAAGAATACCTTATATATTAAACAGCAAATGCCTTCACAAGACACATTAATAAATGCAAAATGAATATACTTTATTACCTATTGATTACAATTCTAATAAAAGGGGTCTCCTACATTCACACCACATACATACTTACCAAAGAGAGAAGAATTCTTTATTTGCATTGTTCAAGTTCCAAAGAAAGTAGTTGGTTCTAACAGCCTTTGGTTTCAGCGGACAAATTATACCTTCCTGGACCCCTCTTTTTATATTATTTTCAGGCAGGTTGCTAGCTGAGCATGTGCATTAGATGCTTCTTTGTTTTCCCCTAGATACCGTATATTTTTCGCACCATAAGACGCACTTTTTTCCCCACAAAACACGGGGGAGGAAAGTCTGTGTGTCTTACGGAGCGAAGAAAACAGATTGTATTTTCCTGTTTTCTTCTCCTAAAAAATTGGTGTGTCTTATGGAAATAATGGTCCTTATTACCTGTTGTGAAGTATGGAACTCTTTTAGAACTCTTTTGTGAAGTATGGAACTCTTTTAGATAGGTGTGGAATTTCCTTGCTCCAGAGGATCCTTGTACCAGGGTCTTCTTAAACCCTGAGTTTGCTCTACTCCCTCAATTAGTAGCAGATGGTTTTTGTCAGCTTACTGAAAGCATAGTTCAAAATGTTCACAGTTCAAGAGTTGAATTTCTCACAACGACGGCTTATAGCCAGAAATGTAAAGTCCCATAGTTCCTCTGGTCCTGCTGGTCTCCATCTTTTGTCCTTGCTCTCTCTCTCTCTGGTTCTTCACCTTATTCCAGGCCAAACATGCACACACCTTGCAAGATGGCCAACAGCAGTTTATTGTTGTTGTGTCCTGTCAAGTAATTTGTAATGTATAGCAACCCTATGAAGTAATGACCACCAAAAATCCTATTAACAGCCTGCTAAGTCCTGACAACTAAAGGGTATGGCATCATTTACTGCTCAAATCCTTCTCATGTTAACTCTTCCTCTTGTTATACTACATTCAGCTTTTCCCAGTATTTCTCTTCTTTCCCAGAGACCTGGTCTTCTCATGCTGTGCCCAAAGTACATTATCCTCAGTTTAATCTTTTTAGCTTGTATATAGAGAGTTCAGCCTAGATTTGGTTCCCCATCATTGCAGATGCCATCTGGAGCTGATGATTTGTAAACTTCAATTTTGTCATCAAGCTCAGGTGTTTTGTTTCTTATCACCAACCACTATCTATCTCAGTTCTTCAGACTTTACTTCCAGGAAAAGTCAGTTCAGGAACAGCTATCTGCCCTACATCTTCTGGACTGAGCATAGATATAAACATTTCATTAAGCTTTTATGCATATTTTTGTGTCTCCTTTAGTATACTTTTAAATCCCTTGTCATCTGATCCCTTCTGGCCTCTGAAGTATTTAAAGAGTTTTTTTAAAAAAATGTTAATCATATTGTTTTCAGCAATATGCTTCTCAAAATTCTTATATCTATCTTGGATCTTTTATTGTCTTCTTCCATTACTTTTGCTAAAATGTATTTCTCTCCCCCTCTTCATTTGTATAGGACTCTATTTTCTGAAAGAGTCTTTTCTACTTATAGTACCTTCCTTGACTGATGTTTAACCATGCTAGTGGTTTGCTGGTACCCTGTCTTATCTGGGGAATATTTTGTTAGCTAGGCTTTTGCTATTGTGGTTTTGAACAACATCTGCACATTCTGAAAGTGTTTGAGCCTCTTGACATCAGTTTCAGATTCTTATTTTCAGTCCTTGCTGAGCCAGAGATTGGGAGTTCAGTTCCCCATTGAGCCTTCTGAGAGGACAGCCAGCCTGTACAGCTTTGAGCAGACTGCACATCCCAGAGCAACTTCAGAAGAAAAGAAAGATAAATCTCTTCTCGGTATTCTATACCTAGAGAAAACCCTGGAAAAGATTGATATAAGTCAGATTTGATTTGCTGGCAGCTGCAGGTGGTGATGGTGATGACAATGTTGTTGTTGTTGGGTGGTGTTGCTGTTGGTGGTGACAGTGTTGTTGTTGTTGGGTGGTGTTGCTGTTGTGGCAGGGTTTTTTTAAGACAGATTTGACTGCAGGAGAAAAGAAGTTACGAGTGCTTATTTTGCTCTTTTCCTCTAGGTGGCAATATGTTTCCTCTGCATGAGAACTAGATAAATATATGAGCTGTAGTAGCTTTAAAAGTTAAAAAACAAAAACAAAACAGAGACATGACTGATATTTCCGACAAAGTATGAGAAGAACCAAAAGGCATTCCATGGTTGCTAGTAGAACATGTGGTGCTTGTATATTTTAAATTTAAGATAAAGTTTGTTTGTATGGGAAGGTGTTGCTTCTTTCCCAAAAGTACAGTGGTGCCTCGCTTAACGATTTTAATTGGTTCAAAAAAAATCATCGCTATGGGAAAACATCGCTAAGCGAAATGCGGTTTCCCATTGAAATGCATTGAAAACCGGATAATCCGTTCCAATGGGAACGGATTGCCGTCCTTAAGCGAAAATCGGCATAGGAAACATTGCTAAGCGAAACACGGTTCCCCAGTTGAAATGCATTGAAACCTATTCAATGCATCTCAATGGGGGGAAAATTACAACAAATTTAAAAAGTCGGAACAAAGTTGAATTAATTTAACAAAGGGTTTATTAAGTGCACTTATGATTTCAAGCATTCTAAACATTTTAAACATATAAAAAACAGCCAACATGAGGCTGTCAAAACCATCGTTAAGTGAAACAGGGGACTCAAAATTTAATCGCTATGCGAAGCATGGTTCCAAACATCGCTATGCGAAAATCGCCCATAGGGAACATCGTTAAACGGAGCGCAAGGTCGCTCCGAAAAAGTCATCGCTAAGCGAATTCATCGTTCAACGAAGCGCTCGTTAAGCGAGGCACCACTGTACAGTATATTACACTTTATTTGCTTTCCCATTTCTGTCGTCATTTGGATGTCCTTTGGGCAACCATGGGAAGCCTTAAATCCAATGATACAGGCAATCAAATTATTGAATCTGGAACTGGTTTAAATAAATATGTTTGAGAAAAAATGTTAATTCATGTAAATATCAAAGTGGAGATTAGAGTTAATAATTGTTTGCCTGAATAGAAAACCTAGACCTTTTAACAGATCTTTCAAGCAGCTTGTGTACAAGAGATGCCCTGCCCACTTCTGTGGAAGGTATGTTCTGCTTCAAACAGGGTCATTAATTCTAAGAATTAATTTTAAGAACTGTTTCCTCCCCACTGAAGTCCATAGGAAAGATTGCTGAAATTCTTACTCCAAATACACATAGAATCATAGAAAAGTGAAGTTGGCCATCAAGTCCAACCCACTGCTCAGTGCAGGAATACAATCAAAGTATATCCGCCAGGTGATTATCTAAGTTTTTCTTGAATGCCTCCAGTGTTGGAGCACTCACCAACTCCCAAGATAACTGGTTCCACTATCGTACTGCTCTAACAGTTAGGAAATGTTTCTTGATATTCAACCAAAATCTGGCTTCCTTTAACTTGAGCACATTGTTGCGTGCCCTGCAGTCTGGGATGATCAAAAACAGAACCTGCTCCTCCTCTGTATGACAGCCTTTCAAATATTTGAAAAGTGTTATCACATCACCCCTCAGTCTTCTTTTCTCGAGGCTAAACATGCCCAATTAATAGAGCCATCTACAGCAGAATCAAAGGATTTAGGTATAGCAAAGCAAGTGTGTATCTTTTATAAATATTGTAAGGACTATCCCAGGTATCAAAATATGTTGCTGGGGAAACTGGTGCATTGTCCTAGTCGGGGTTGCATATCCCTACGTTCTCGTGTGTTGAAGGGAGCTATATAGTTTCTAAACAGGACAGGTACCCACTGATATAACATTGGTGAAAAGTTGCCCATTTGATGCTTTTTCTACTAGGTCAGCTATAAGCAACCAACCTTGTATGTAAGTAGATGAGCCTGTGAATTTTTGTAATTTCTAACACAAAATCTAGTTGTCTTAGGGATTCCAGTCGTGTGCCCTCTGAAATTTTGCTCTCTTTCTCAAGATATGATCATTTCATGGTTCCCTAGCTTTTGTATATCTCCCTCTCCCATTCTAAACAGTGGAACTGCCTTGCTAAAGGCATAACTATTATCAATATGTGTTCCAAGTAAAAAATTGCTAGTATTTTCAGTTCTGCCTTTTTGCTTCATTCACCTACTTAATAACTTATTTGAAATTAAATCTAGCCGTCTAACTGAAATAAGTTCTCTTTCTTTATGACTTGTAAAATTCAGTGTTCCTGGGTTTACCCCCTATTCAAAGGGGGGCTACATGTCGCCCATATATATTTCAGGGTGTTTTACAATCACAAAAGAAAACTCTGCTGCTTCCCTGTTTGTGACTTGAGAAGAGTTCGGACATGCACACTAACCTCACTAATTGACACATCCATGTCATAGTTGTGTGTCCACACAGTATGACTCTGAATGGAGGTGGGCAAACTGAATCCTACACTTTTATCTGCATTGGGTTGCTGCTTTATGTTCTGTTTCAATAGCTGTATGACTGATCTGTTCACAGATCATAGCATTGAAAGATAATATCAGCAATTAAGAAACGTGTTTACGGTGAAGCAAAATAAAGAAGCGTGTTCCGACTGGTTATCTATTTCACATCTTTGTCTGGAAAACCAAAACAGCCTTGATCTGGGGACTGATCAAGCCTTGCCACCTCTGTCATCATTTCCATCACACTGAATGTGTAGAGGATAATGAATGTGAACAGGAGAGCTGATTTTCCAGGGTTAAACTTGCTGTGAAGGGATTTACTTCCTCACTGTCAACTGGAAGTGTTTTTACTGTAACAGTTTGGAAACATAAGCCATTCCTGTCCCCCATGTGATCTTGCCATTTGTGTTCATTGGCCTCTTCCAGACCAGTAGCAGCCCTCTCATCATAGAATGTTGTATTTATGTTATTCATTAACAAGGAATTGAGCTCAAAGGGTTTTTCTGCTGTCAAATTCTGTCTAATCCAAACGATACTGTATTATCTTTTAGAGGGTCTCTGAAGTCACGGACAGTAGCACCTGGCAATGCGACACGGAATTCTACTATTGGTATGATGGCAAACAAGAGAAAAGCACACAGTTCTGAAAGCTACTTGAACAGGTAATTGACTTTTTTTTCAGAAATGTAAGGAAAAGAAGCCATTTTGGGAGTGTACAGTATCTTACAGATTCTGAATTGTGACTTCTGTGGGGTGCGAGTGGACAAAGGATGAGAATAGTTCAGAAACAAATGTGACATTTAGCTTAGTAAATGTTGGGGAATGATGACATCAGCAACAACTGATAGATACTGGCACTGGTCTTGGAGTAGGATCCTAAGAGGGATAGGAGACCTATTGAGATGGTTAAAAAAAGAATTAAGTTAAAAGTGTGAGCAAGCAGAGAGTTGTAGCCCCACCTGTCTCTGTCTCTACACAAAGAAGGAAAGGAGATTTTCTGCTATGTGTGGAGAGGCTCCCCATGTAACAGAAGTTTTTCTTCTTCTTCATAAAGCACTTGTCCCTGTAGAGACAGTGATGGTCAGAAGCAGAATTGTCTCACTTTCCAATTAATCCATTCTTAAATGTCTGCATAGGGGTAGAGTTGCAGAAACATATATGATTGCCAAATGAAAGAATAACAACTATATAAAAAGTGACTATATTTTAAATAAAACAGACATTTACAGACATTTTCGCAACTCTGTTAAAGCATAGGAAAAAGCAGATCATGATTCACATCCCCATGCCCAGTCCAACCACTTGCAGTTTGCAGCATTTGTTTCATTTCCCCAAGTTCCCTTGTTCACCAGTCCATGACTTGTCCAGAGGCATGGTGACCTTTTGAGTTGAGTAAAAGGCATAGATAAAATCTGAAATTCCACCAGTAGCTTGTACCTTTGCTTTGGGAAATCGGCTAGTTGCAACTCCATGCTCTTCTTCCCTTGCCCCTTACATTTCATGTGTGCTGAAGTAAAAGTGGCACATGCCCCTTGTAGACAAACTGGAAGATCCGTGAGCAGACATAACTGGCGTTTGCCCTTATATCCTGCTTGTGCATATACCACAGACAGGTGCTTGGCCATTGGATTTGCCATGATCCAGTTTGTTTCTTCCTGTGCTCCCTCAGGGCGAATTCTAAGAAATGAAGTGTTTCTCAGGAAGAAATTTTTAAAGCTTCTTCCTTTGTTCTTTTCCACCCTACTTCTCACTTGAGAGGGTCAGATTCAACAAGCATTTTTTTGTATTCCCTTCTCCAAATCCAAGGAGCTAATGTGGGCTTTAGGGGGGGTCAATTTATATCAGGGAGAGGGTTAAACAGACTCGAAGTATCATATCACTGATCTTTAAAACAGCCTAGTGGATTTGCTGATTATCAAAAGAAGCAAAACAAAACGGCAGGTGATTCCAATCATGAAACTTCCATTTCAGATCCTTTTTGGACTCAGATTTCTCTCTTTGACATGAAGGTAGTGCCTGATAATTTTTGACTTTACCATTGAAAATACATAAAGGGTATCCTTGTTTGGTTCCTTGGTTAGCCAGTACATTCATAAATGTTTCACTTGCATTATGAAGTTGCTTTAGGATGTTTTAAAAAGTGCATGTATCAGAACCCTATTACTTGCGTACACTGATGTGAGCTAACCAGAATAAACTGCAACAGTAAATTGCCACGGCTAAGTTGAGGTGTGTTCTTGCATGCAGAGGTAGTGGGATTCTGGCCATTTAGAATTTCAAAGGTATTACATGGAAGAGGTTAGAATCAATACTTCATGAATTATGAATCATGTATGAACTATTAGTATTTATTTTACTAAATGTGGCTATGATTTTCATTTCAAATTTTCAATGCTTGCTGTAGAACTGGATATGACAGTGGAGACTGTTCATCTTCTGTCAACGGTGGAAGTTCAAAAAGCAGTGAGGGAAATTCACCTGCACAGTTACCAAAATTCTGCTATGAATGCGGCGCCAAATACCCAGTTGAGTCTGCAAAATTCTGCTGTGAATGTGGAGTTCGGCGAATGGTTTTGTGAATGCCTTCTCTCCAGCAGGATAAAAGATAGCCAGCTTCTCTGATTGCTGTGGCTGCATGGAAATCTGTGCTGCACCTTCCCACTGGTACTCGTGCTTAAACACCATAATAATTTTCCAAGAGCAATTCTTTTTGGTTGCAAAGTAATTTATATAGGTATATAAATGTAATGTATATAAGTGGTAGGTCCCTAAAACTGTGCCATTCAAGAAGGTTTTCTTGAGACACTGTTGGAAATACCTTTAATGGATCAAAATATTGACTCAAGAAGTAGAAATGATTTTGTAATCCTGTTTTGTATTATAGTTACATATTGTTCTCTTGCCATTCACCCATAATGTTTGCCCTGGATATTTTGGTCTAAAGAAACTGTTCTGATATATAATTCAGCTTAAACTGAGAACATTGACTGATGGTCTTGTAAGTCAGCTGACCACTAGTTGAGTTGGTCCTTACAAATTTTTATTAACAATTGAAATAGCTTCAGTTCAGGTTAGCTGATCCCTTTAACTGTATTATTCTAGCAGACTGGTTAGTGTTTTAGAACTGCATCTAGAACCATTACTATGACATTTGTATGCGTATTTCGCTCTTGGTGCCGTGTAAGATTTCTTCTTGCCATTTTTCACATACCCTTTTAAAATCAAAGTTTAAATTCAACTCTTAGGATTCTAGCTTCTTATCTTCTCCTAACACAGCAAACATAAAACAAGTGGAAATGTATGTCTGGTGTGGCCTCCCTTCTTTGCCCTTTCATAGCAATATAAATAGTTTTTAATTGTGGTCACAGAAAAATAAATTTAATGCTAGGTCTTCAAATTCACTTTTTTGGGGGGCAGCATCTTTGTTGCTGAAGCCAACACAAAAGCACTTGTTTCAAACAAAGCATAGTACTAAAGCTCTTAACCTGCATCACTTTTGTATGTTTCCATTTTCACAGCCATTTTTTTCCTGTGAGTTATAGAGATGAGTTCTATAATATTTAATTGTGCCTTTCCCAAAAAGTAGCATGCTCTTTTAAAGTTTCAAACTGCTGTTTTAAGCCATTGTTGCTGCAAGTACAGTATTATTAATTACAGTTTCAACTGTCAACAAGATACTTGGCAACATTTGCTCTCACAATCATTTTTACTTCATCTTAAAGCTTATATTCAATGTTTTTAAAAAAGAACACACCATGTGACTAATGGCAAGCAGAAAAACCTTTATGTGATCATGTTCCTCCCCCTACCGCCTAGTACACTTGATGATGGCAAATTGCAGCTCCTAAATAGTTGGAATTTAAAAGGTCATTGGTGTGGACCTGTTTGTGGCTCCTGAATCTTTCTTAACCATTTTAAGTGTGGTGCCCCAATTTTTTTCACCCAGTTTTAATTCTAGAGAATTGCCTGGTGCTCTGACTTTGTATAATGTCAGTGGATGTATCTGTAGTAGCTATATATAAGATAACTCAACCCATACTAGAAGCAAGTGGCCAAGATGTGTATAGGGCATGCACACATTTCCTATATTTCTTTTTTGATGCATTCTATCTGAATATATTTAAATCGTGGTATCATTTCAGTTTCTCTACCACTCATATTACAAAATTTGCATTCTATACACATACATAGCATTTATATTTCAATTGTAGGAGGATGGACAAAGTACAGAATTCTAGTGGCTGCACCTTTGAAGTTTGGATTTTTTGTTAGTCGGCCAAACAGATTATATTGCTTCCTGATAAAAACTCTATGAGATGTATAGTAAGTCTAACATAGGAAGATTACTATATGAGTTGTTTTTGAATCTGAAGTCATCATTTTAAGATCATATTTGGGGTGATTCTTTTATATGGGCTTGAGTGTAGTAGAAATTTTTTTATGGATCCTAAACACTCATGAAAATTGACATTAGTGGAAGACTTCATCTCTTGTTCACCATTTGGTTTCCAGAAAACTTTTCAGGCTTTTCATTGCCAAGGAAACCAGGTGAATCAACGTTATTCCTAGCATCTATCCACACCTAGGATGTAACTCAAATAATCAATGTGAGTTTTGCCATTAATTTCAGATAAAAGAGTGCACCCTTAATTCAGGACATCTGATAGTCCAGAGAGGGTATCACACCCATTCCCAAGCCGCCCATGCCGTCAATATTGTTTGTATATATGAAAGCTATTTAAAATACATGGTCTTTCTCATAATAATTATTGGCTAGAATCCTGTAGATGATTTATGCTTGCATAATTTTGTGATGAGAAATTGCTGCTCATTAATGCAGTGCTGCCATGATCTGGATTGCACAGTTGGGCACTCATTGTTAATGATAAGCAGTTTGCTGTCACATTCTACAGAGCTTCCCACATGGAAGTGTAAATTGGCAATAGAATTCCAGTTAATATCTAATTTGTTTCTCCTATTAAATATTTGAACATTATGTTTAGCAGGTTACTTTATATTATGCCAATAATAACCATCACAGAAAGACAAGTTCATTGCATTAAGATTTTGCTCAGGGTTGCTTCATGTCACAGGGATCAATTTCCATGTTTGAAAAATGTCTGCTTTCATAAAGAGAGTAGAGTGGCACAGTGATCATCAGTCTTTGCATATGAAAGGCTGATGTAAATTCATTGATGGAAATTGAGCTACATATGCTTTGTTTCAAATGTTAGGTAATTCATCGAGAGTTCACAAATATCTTCATTCACCAAAGACCCATTGTATTTGTTATATAAATGTTTTATTTCTATAGATGCTTTGTTATAGCCAACAAATTATTCTGAATTCTTATTGCAGCTGCTTGGAAACATCACTATATTATATCCTTGGTTTTAGTTTCATTCTTTTTTACTAGCAATTCTAATTTTTGTTCAATAGTTAGTGGGGTTTTTTCTTTATTCTGAATGATCAGTTCATTTGCAAATGCAGTTTGTAAATGCTTGCTAAATGTTATCTAGTGCTTTGTTAACAATAAAGCAAATGTTGCATACAGGATATTTACTGTGTGTTTAGGTGTTGTAAAGGATCTTTAACAGTTGGTGTTTCTGGCAGCAGCTATGTTACCAGAATAATCTTGGGTTTTAAGCCTTGCAATCCCATTTAGAATCACTGAGTTGGAAGGGATCTATAAGGCCATCCAGTCGAACACCCCACTCAATTTATTACTACCTAGGTGGCCTGTGGAGCAACTGAATATGAATGAAGTAGGATAACATATGTGACTTTGTACGTACAGTATTGAAAAGTTCTTCCTTCCCTAATCAAATAAATTCAGTCTTGACGTTACAGTAGAACCCCATGTCTGCATGGGATTGGTTCCATGATGTACTATGGATACCTGAAACTGTATATATGAGGGAGCCATATATACAACATACAAGTAGGTGGGACAAAGGCCAGAAGGGGGCACCGTGGGCTGTTCTGTATGACTGTGGCCAACCATGGGTAAGTGCATATATCAAAACTGAATGTTGATCCTACAGATACAGGGGTCTAACTGTATCTGAAATTTATTATCTTGATGTTATGTTAAATGCTATAATCGTGGAGTGCATAGAGGCTTATTCACCAAAGTATAAGCTTGTCATGTAAGCTTTCTACATACCTTCAGTGTTTAATGGGAACTGAGTTGTTTATCTTTATTATTTAGAATTACATTTAATTAAACAATATTTGTTTCTACATGGTCAGCTGATTTGACTTTTATCAATGGGACAGGTTTCTAGCCTTGTTTATGAAATTATTTCTTGGATTTCCACTTAAGTTTCCCAATGTTCAAATCCCTCTTCAGCTACAAAACTCACTAAGTGACCTTGGATACTGTCTCAGTCTGACCTACCTCAAATTGTTGCAGCAAGGATACAGTCTGGAGGCCAAGAGCCACATATGCCACCATGAACTCAATGGAAGAAGGGTCAAGTATTAATGTGAAAAATAAGATTAATTAGATGAGATCAGTGTTTATTGTCATAATGAAAAAGCTGTAGGGGAGAATGTTGTCTTAACTCAGTACCGGCAACTCTGCTACAAAACTAAATTTAATAACTTGAGACTAGGTACTTCAATGTAACAAATTATTAAAGTAATCGTAGTAGCAGTCGGCTGGTGCCCTTATTAATTGGATTTCTCCAAAGCTAAGGTCACACTAGTCAACAGACTTTCAAGTTTTGTGTACTTTTATTTAAACATGTATATACTTTTTTATATTAAATATACAAAATGGTTTACAGCAAAAAGTCAACCAACACAGTTTGAAAAAGCAGCACTAGTGAGGAAAGCAGCCTTCAAATCAGTTAAAGTTAACAAAACCCAAGAAAATCAACAGTCACTAAGGCCAGGATGCTATTGCTAGTCCCAACTACAGTAAAGCTACTGAATCAATTCTTGAATGTAACCCAACATTTAGGCAACTCTACTGAGTCAGTGGGTCGACTTAGTCGCACATAGCAACAGGATGCTGGTCTGTCTAAAAAAAGCTTGAAAATTTAATTTTTAACCCAATGTCTAAACAGCAAATACAGTCTTCTCCAATCTGGTGCTCTCCAGAGGTGGCTGATCAGAACTTCCATCATTCCAGAGCTTGTGGGAAATAACCTACTGTTCTCAGAACCTATAAATTAACATATATGTGGATTATGTAAAAAAAAAAGTAATTTCTAATTTCTGTTCCCCAGCCAGTAGCGATCCTGCTTCAAGGATCAGTTTGAGACACAAAGGGTTGCTCTCTTCGCTGCTAAAACAGCCACTCTTAGGAAGAATGTCTCTTTAGATGAGCCATGTAATGTTTTTATCTTTAGAAGTTTATTTTATTATGACTAATTGGCTGACTAAATTGTATATATAATTTTAGTATTATAATTTTAACCCTTGCTGGGCTTTTTGTTCTTAGTTTATGTTGTATTTGAATTTTAAATGCTCTGAAGGCTTCTTCAATCAAGTATTTACCTACCTTCCCTACTTCAAAAAGACCCTGTTTCCCTCGTACCAGTTATCATCCCCTCTTCTTATCCCGTTCACTTGCCCCTTAACAGCAGTTACTACTGTCAATTCATTCACAGACGGCTGACATGGCTATATGAATAAATCCCTATTTTTCATGATACATATAAAAGTGTTAGTTATATATGTCAGATTTGTACATATGCTTGCAAAAATCTGTTAGCAACTTCCAGCTTTTAGACAGATACTTCCCAGCCTCTAATATCTGCCCCAAGAGCATACTGCATCTGAACAGTCCTAAAAACTGAAATGCAGGATATATAAGAACCATTATGGATATATTAGATATATTAATTTAAAAAGACTGATAAATTGGTAAGTTGCCTTCTTGGTAGTTTTTAAAGTGCTGCTTTGCTCTTTAAAATAATGCAAAATCGGTAGTAAAAATGTATGCTAAAGACAGTCACCAATTCTAAGAAATACTGAAATGAAGACTGCAGTTCTCTGTCCCACATTTGCTTTCTGCTCCCATAGCAGCTGAGACCCTTTTTGAGACACTGATGGTCCGGCTTCTTCCAGTTCTCCCTCCATTTGCTTAGCAGTGCAGAGTTGTATGCAGGAAAACAGTTTACTCTGAAAAACCAGAGCACTGTGCAGTTTGTCAAGTTCCATTTGCAGCGTTCTTTCAAACTATAGGATAAAATGCCTCCAACAAGACATTAAGTCAAAAATTACTTTCTTTGTACAACATATGGGATCAAGCATTTTGCAGCAGCAGTCTGTGCATCGACAAGACTCTCTTTTTTGTGCTGTTGAAGCAGTGGTGTTGGTGTATTTCTGCATTAAAAACAATTGATGATTAAGCTGTGTACAATTCATATTTATGATTCAGCAGACAGTATTTCAAGCATATAAGCTAGATATCTGGAAAGCTTAAGTAGGCACATGTTTCAGTTATTGCAAAAACAACAAAAAATTGTTCAATGAATTTTATTAATTCCTTTCTAAAAGAATTAATTGGCCAGTGCACACCAAGTTGTAACACTAGGAAAATAGACAGAACTGAAAAAATACTACAGTTTATCCAAGATGTATATATGCCACTTTCTCTAACAACGTTAATGTCTAATTCAACTTCTCCGATAATTTAAAAATGTAGTATCAGGCCGGGTGTAAGTCAGAAAAAACCAGGTCTGGGATGACGCCCCCTTCAGCCCATTTTAAGAATTCTAGTTTGGAAAGGGTCTCGAATGTAATGCAAAGAGCAGGCAAGGCGAAAGAGAAACACAAGAGAGGGCCTTCCCTGCTACTCCCAGGTTGTGGAATGTTTTATATGGTTCTTTTAGTGGTTTTTAGATTACTGATTTTTACACTAGTGTGTTTCATTCTTTTAAATTAAATAATTTATTGTGCTTTTAATTTTACTTATATTTTTAATTATTGTGACTTTCCTTGTGTCCCCCTTTGTGAGAGAAATATAGCATAGAAGTCATATATAGTAGATGAATAAATAATGGCAGAAGGTAGGGTTGGATCAAAAGTAACATCTGATCTGAGGATTGCATAGTATACTTCCAAGAAAAGCTAAACATTCAGGAAAAATGCTAGATATCCAAATATGGGTGATATGGCAACAATTCTATAGGATTGTTATGGATCTGAATTTGGAGGTTTGAATGCTCTGATGAGCTCTGGATTTCTTAAAGGCATCATTCAGGTCAGTGTTTGTCACTGCACAGTATAAAGAGAACGGCAAGTAAAAATAGATGCAATAAAACAAACTCAACAAGGACTGTCTTGAAAAACCTACCTCCTGTAGCATCAGTGTAACGGTGGAAACGTATTCCATTCTTTGTTTTATCTCCTCCTTGGTGGAGATACATGATGTTTTGGACATTTTTTTAAGGTATTTTGCCATACACCGTAGGGCTCTCTCCTATTAGAAAAAATATCTTTATGAATTGAGATGCTGTGGGGTATTAATACAACATAGAATCCATGGACTGGTAAGCAGTAGGGTTGTCATACCATAATGCCCTTACCTTGGACCACATACCAAAAGATTAAAGAATCCTTGCAATTAAAAGACTTTTGGAATCTCTTTGAAACCTAGGTCTCAGAATACAGGTGAATCATCTCTGACCATCCAGATGTCAGATTATAACCACCACAGTCTTTGACCTCTGACAATGTCGGCTGGATCCTAAGAGAGTTGGGATCCAACGGTAACAAGAGGGCTACAGATTCCTTACATAAGCAGCACACTTCGCTTTTACTCAAGACTAAACCACATATCTGTACTTAACACCATTTTCCACTTTAGAATTTTGTCAATGTTTTATTATTTCAGTCTCTTAATTCTAGTCAATCCTTCCAATTCATCTGACAATTGAGTCTGAGGATATAGTTAATAAATTTATTTCTAGTAAGGGAAACTTATTTATTTATCTTAGGTTTCACACTTAGCTGTCACATTTAACCACTTAAGGGCCTACAAGAACTTAGCATGGCTTTAGCACAGTTTCTGAGATGCAACTGCAATATGCAATGATGCAGTGAGAGTTATTGTCTGCGGGCAAAAACAGATCACATTGTGTGCAATCAGAGCAGGCAGGACAGGCAACCCTGTACCCCTGCTGCTGGGGACTGGTCAGACAGCCGAAGAGGAGGAAGAGAGGAGCACCCTCTGACTGGTGAGTGGGTCATCGGCTAGGAAGGTGGGGGAAGGGAATGTGTGGCACCTGTGGTGCTGCATGTACAAAACAGCATGAACTTCCAAACCAAGATTCATGCCCATCTATACTTGCCATCTATATATTAAAGATTAAAAAAGATACAGCAAACCTCAGTCAGTGCGTACATAGGGATTCAAGCCCAGACTTCTAAGAGTAAAGTATTCAAAACCCTGAACCTGGAAGGACCAATCTGTCTGTTTCATTCCCCACCTTTTTTTTTGAACTCTCAGATTATTTCTATCATGAATGTGAAGAAATTTTTGAAAATTCTGTTAGAAAAATGAACAGAAATACATTTATCTCCCATTTTTGTTGCAAGCAAATACTTTCCATCCCAGGCCACTCCTAGACCCAAATAGTTATCCATGCCTGACTCAGAACACAGCTGCTCCAGGCCTATTTATAGAAAGGAAGAACCAGACACAAAATGTCAACTTTTTGGCTAATAGTGGAGAGGAGGGGAGGGGACCTCATGTATCACAACTGCAATATCCTTTCCTGCTTGGGTTTACTTCACAGAAACCAGAGGAAGAAACAGCAACCACCACCACCACCATTAAGAGAGGTGCTAGCAAATGATGAATGAAATAAAGAAATACAGCACAAAACCCATTCACTTCATGGACACTTTATGGATTCACTTCACCCCCTAGACAACAGCTAAAATCAAGGAAATGTTTTCTTTGCACATCTCAGGCTGTAAACATTAAACAAGAAGCTAGGCTAAACCTATGAAAAACAAAAACAACACATCTTGCCAAATGGATTAATGCTGAAGAGCATCTAACACCAGGACAGAAATCTAGCTAGACCGTATGGAAGTCGCTTAATAGACTTGGAAGCGATGTAGGAAGATCAGAAAATAATCAAGCAAAATGGGGCTACTTGGATCATCTAACACCAGAACAGGACTCTAGCTAGACCGTATGGAAGTTGCTTAATAGACTTGGAAACGATGTAGGAAGATCAGAGAATAATCAAGTAAAATGGGGCTACTTGGATACAGAACAAATTTGCTGTGATTGTGGAAACATTTCATCAAAGTGTATACAATTTATGCCCTACCATGTGTACAAAAGAAGATCTGGTAAATGGCTGAGATAACACTGTTGAAGTAGCCTGCCTCTAGTAAAAAGATAATCTAATTACAGTGACGCCTCGCAAGACTAAACTAATTCGTTCCACGAGTAGCACTGTCTTGCGAAAAAAGCATCTTGCGAAAAGCGGTTTCCCATAGGAATGCATTGTAATGCACTCCTTTGGGAACCTCGCAAGACGAAGAATTTTTTGTCTTGCGAGGCATCGGTCTCAAAAAAAAATCTTGCGAAACACGGCCATAGAAGAAGCCGTCTTGCGAGGCACCACTGTACCTTAATATTTTAATTTGCTTTTCATTTTACCTATATTACATATAGGTCCATGATTATAAACCATGCAATGCTCTGATACAAATAAAGAAAGAAGATTAGAGAGGTAGCACTTGGAGGAGGGGAAGATGGGGTAATGTTTCTGAGTGGCCACCCACTAGGGGAGGAAGGGCTATCAGCCATCAAATGCCATCCTTATCTCTAAAGAAGATAGATCATCATTACCTTATTTGATCTGCAACAGCACCTGTAGCTAGCAGTAATCTGTCCAGTCGAATTTTCCTGTAATAAATAATAAGCCAAATGCAATGTTTAAATGTTGGTTTTATAGATTTCTTGCCAGTGTAAATTGCTATTCAGAAATTCTTACTCATGCACAGACCAACATGTGAGTAGAGTGTCCCCAAAAACCTTTCCCCTTGGGACCCTCGTATATGGCATGAACCTCTACAGCAATACAGCTTTCATACATACCCCTCCACAATGTATGTAAGAAAGCAGAAATAATTCTGCACAGTATGGAACCCTATGTTTTTGGGCTTCCACACAGCAGAGCAGCCTTTGTATATATAACTGCCCAAATGAAGACTACATCCCTACTAGCATTACAGGTGCCAAAGAAAAAAGCTAATCGGCACATTCCTCTTCACTTCTTGATCCATGTGTGAGTACTAATTTCTGAAAGGAGCTAAACTCACTGTTATATTAGCAATCACTGACTTGAGTATATCATCATGGCAGTCTAAGAAATGATTCTGCAAGTATTCATGTACAATTGTCTGTCTAACACAGTTTCACTTAGGATTGTTCGGACTATTGGGGAGCTTTCCCAACAGCTAGCCTAGAGTTCTTCTGGGTAGAAAAGACCACAATGGATTCTTCAACTACAAGAAGCGAGGCAAGATAATAAAGCTGTAACACCACACAGCGAACTTGGCATATGGCTATTTCATTTACAACCATGCTTCATGTGCACATGGAGTAATCCATACATAAGTCATTGAGCACATCACTAAAATTACAACTGGATTGTAGAGGTCAGTGGTCACCGAAGTGTGTAGACATTCTACTTCATACAGTTTTGTCCTCACTCTCAGGGATTTTTATACGTTAAGTCTCCTGGACCGTCTATTGCAGGGGTGTCCAACCTTTCACCTTCCCTGGGCCACATTAGAAGATGAAAGTTTGGTTTGGGCCACACATAAATACATAAGTCGTTAAGCACATCACTAAAATTACAACTGGATTGTAGAGGTCAGTGGTCACCGAAGTGTGTAGACATTCTATTTCATACAGTTTTGTCCCCACTCTCAGGGATTTTTATATGTTAAGTCTCCTGGACCATCTATTGTAAACAAGAATATCTGTGGTAAATGACACATTGGGGGACTTTACTGTGCACTGCTTCATGACTAGCATGACAAAACTAGCCAGTCTTAATCACAGAATGAACTGTAGAGTTCAAAAGGACCTTAAAGGTTAGAAACCAAAACGCTCCTCTTTCTTAGACTAAGTGAAGTGGGAAGAACTGCTAGATTGAGACAGCACATATCTATGATCTATGGCATCTTCTAGTATGAAAAGAGTTAGAGGTACCTTAAACACTTCTATCTACCTTTATCTAAACAACTTAGATGGCAATATTAACTTCTTTTCAGTCTTATAATTGAAAAGGCCTAAGTGTCTTTGAACAAGCATTGTCAAATATTGTTTTAAGTTAACAATAATTAAATTAACTGTGTGCCACTCTGAATATTCAAAAAACCTCTGATGTGATATTGCTTTCGCATGACAATTGCTTTGTGTTTGGGTTGAGAGGTGGTTAACTGATGAAACAACTAGTCAATGTTCTGGGACTTTTCCTTGCTTGGTGTCACTTTGTGAATGGTAGTGAGCAAAAAAAGGGCCACCTGTAAGCCACCTTGACTGCTGACATTCATGCCACTAACATTCAGGTTGGCTTTTGCTATATGAAACTTGGGTATCCTTCCTCATGCTGGCAACATGGGAACAATATTGGAAGGCAATATTGGCCTTTCCTGGCATTTTGGATTGTGGATACAAAAGCAATATTCCATATTCATGAAGCAGAGATTATTGGAAGAATTGAATTTCCTGGCTTTTCAAAATGGAACTTGAAGTATACACACACTACACATACATTCCAAGCACCAATTTCCCTCACATAGAAGTAATAGTGCTACAGTCTCCCAAAATATTATCATCACATGATCTGTATTAAGATTGCTGGGGAGGGGGAAGGCAGAACTAGAAACCCAATCAGCTTGGATGTTGCTGCAGTCTCTGTGTGAAAATACTTTGAAGGAGTCTTTTGTACTTAATGAAATGGAGACACAAAGGCGTGATGAGATGCAGCACGTATAAGGGAGAAAACATATACATCCTTTAAACTCTCAGGTATACTGTTTGTGCAGATATTTGCACAGCTGAGTCAGACAACATTCTGTAAAACAAAACTAAAATGGGGCAGCCCCAAAAGAAAAAGGTATACTTTTGAAACTAAGTTTCAGATCAGCTCCTCATTATCACAGGAGTAGTACGTAGTCCGCCTGAAAACTCAGTGTGATGTAATGGACAGAGTAACGGACTAGGATTCTAGAGAACAGGGTTCAAATCCCTGTTTAGCCATGGAAAATCACTGGGGGAATGAAACTGGTAAAGCCACTCTTTAAATATCTCATTTACTTTGAAAGTTCTATTACGGTCACTATACGTCAGTTCTGACTTGACACATAACAACAAAGTAGTCAGTCTGGTCTTGCTCTGTGCCAAATTTGGGGCTGTTTGAGCAAACATTGTTACAGCTGTGATTTTTTAAAAAAAGAATTGCCCACACATATCAATTGCAACCATTAAACGGCAGCAGGCAGCAAATTTCTAAAAGAAACAGGCAAACATTTTTACAGCTGTGATTAAAAAAAAAAAGAATTGCCCACACACATATCAATTGCAACCATTAAAGGGCAGCAGGCAGCAAATTTCTAAAAGAAACTAAAAAAACCAGCCTTCCCTATATTGAAGCAGTACTCTTTCCACAACAATCTTTTAAAGACCAGCCATTGTCTTGCAATTGAAGGGTAGGGGGCAAGTGAAGAGAGGCAGGGGGATGAAAAGAAAAAAAAAGGGGGGGGGAGAGGGCAAGAAACAAGAGAGGAAAGGGAAAGGAGGGAGGTCTGCCTTGCCTCCCTTCTGATAATGGTGATTGTTTCCCCATTTCCCAGTCTACTTTATAGCCTTTGGATACTCTCTGTCCCGCAATAAGCTCTAGATCTGAGGGAGCTGTGTGGTCCTTAATAGCATTAAGCAGTCCTTAATGCTATCTCGGCAAGGCAGACTGATTTTGTTTTTACCACACTGCAAATGACTGGAGAGAACAACCACAAGTTGACAATTTTTCTGTTGAGTGTACGTAATCCTTCCTTCCCTCACTTGCTGCAACATCCACATGTCCTCAATGGAATTAAAACTCAGATAAAGGTGGTGAAACCAAAACAGAAGAGCAATCTTCATTTGCTAAACTACAGTTCTGCTAATAGCTGGAAGTGCCACAATAACTAAAGCTAGCCCCTCCCCCACAAACATGACAGAACACAGGGGTCTGACTGTCTGATCCTAGGCATAAGGGGAGAAACCTTCCCAAAACATGGTGGAGCCTAGACCTGGCTTGTTTTCACACACCATCAAGTCATTTTCAATTTATGGAGACCCTAACAGAGTTGTTGGTATTTACATGTGATCTTCAAGGAGAGTTTGCTCCTTGCTATCCTGCCCAGTAAGAAAGGTTTTGAACCCAGGTTTCCTGAGATCTAGCTCAACAGTCTATCCCCTACACCGCACTGGCTCTCATACTAGAGGTCCTGAGAGATATGAAAGATTCAGGTAGTGGCTTACCATTGTCGATCGAGCAGATTTCCAAGATGAAGCAGGGATATGAACCAAGGTCTCCTGAGTCCGAGTACAACATTCCATCCATCTCTCTCTCTCTCTCTCTCTCTCTCTCATATTTCTCCATTTCCATCAACCTTCTTTTGCTGTAGTAAGGCAAAAGTTTGTATGCCATCTCACCTCAGTGAGACTCACTAGTTTCCTGAAATACTGTACTGGCAAGAGGTTTGGGCACTGGCTACAGAATATCTCAATAAGTACGTGCAGCCAAACTTTAAGAAAAATAATTCCTATGTAAAATAAGCACAATTATGGTTCTGTGTCTTCTAAACAAAAAACAGATCAAGTTCAAAGAAAGAAAAGCTTGTAGCAGGAATAATTTCACTTTAAGGACACCATGGTTGGCATTTGAAAAATAATGACCAAACATGCTACAAGCCAGCAAAACTATAGCTTAAGTGTGAACAGGAGAATAGCAATGTTTATTTTTAAAATCAGAAATAAAATCTCTAAAAGTACTTGTCCAACCTTCTCCAAATTTGGCACAGAGCACACCCATACTGTCTACAATCACTTTGTCAAATATGGTCCTGATTCAAGAACCTGCTTAGAAGTTGTAACATTTTGTTTGGATTACCCCTCCTATCAGAAATGCCTTACAGAATGTAGATTTGAGTGGTCACACAATAGCAGAGGTACACTCCCATGCACCTCTAACATGATCTGACTTAACTACCCCAATATTTCAGCCGTATAATGTACCTTGAGAACCACTGTGGTATAGTGAACAGGGTACTGAATTAGGACCCAGGAGACCAGGGCTCAAATCCCTACTCAGCCAAGAAAATCACTGGGTATATAGGAACAGTAATTCACTCCATGAACATCTCACATACCTCAAAAACCCTATCAGGGTTACAGTTCAGTCAGAAGCGATTTGATGGCACATCACAACAATGTGCCTTCCTGTTCAAGATTTCATGTACTTGGTACATAACCTGGACCATTCCACGGACAAAGACACCTGAACATCAAAGAAGATGCATTCTTATATTCTTTCATCATCATCTCAGGCCTGGTAACCTGTATTTAATATAACTAGTGTCCACTTCTGTAGTATTTTAAAATAATGCTCTAGTAAGTACATTTACTGACAGACAGAAGTCAAAATGTCTCTCACAAATGTTCATACTGTAAATCATGAGGTATAAATATGAGAGCAGCTGAAGTGTACTAGCCCTACTGTAATTTCTGTTACATTCTGCAGAGGATAATTTTCTGTCCTGCAAAGCCTTCACAGAACCTGTGCAAAGTTTATACACTCTATAGTTCTGAAAAATGAGAACTATAAAAGGTATATACAGGCTCCATGTACAACAGAGTCTCTCTTTTTCACTCTCCCTGCATGTAGGGAACTAGAAATAATGACCAGGAGAAGAGCAGCAAATTCCCTCATCTTGTGTGTTTATTTATTTAAGAACACTTGAATATGTTTTACGCTTACATGCTTCCTTTCTTTTAAAAATATTAAAAACACCATTAACAGGTTTGAAAAGCAGTATTTGTGCCTGAAATAATTAATTTGTAAGACATTTAAAATGCAGCCTAACACATGTGTTGGAAGATACCCACTGGCTTCAGTAAGACTTACCAGCTGATAATGTGTATAGGAATGCAGCCCAATGGGCTTTCTTAAATTGAGATAAAATCCCCACCCCTTCCCTGGCATCACCTTGAGCCAAATATGGGGCCATCTTGGATGCAGAGGGCAGCTTCTCCAAGATTAGTAGAGAACACATTGCAACTAACATCTTGCTGACATCGTGGGTATAGCACTGCCAAGCCAAAGGGAAGAAAGAAAACCATGCCCTACAATGGCATCCTTTTGCTACACTGTATGTAGGCATCCTTCAGTCTCAAGAGACTATACTAATATGCTCTGAATAGGGGTCTTGGAACAATGTCTAGTGTGGCTGAGAAGGCCAATTCAAGAGCGACAATCCCTTCCTCATTGAGCACAAATATAATCTGTCCCCTGTCCAGATCCCTGATTTTGCTGGTTTTGGGACCGCCTCTTCACCTCAGCCTGCTGAAAAGTGTCTTTTCAAATTGGGAGAGGCCATGCTGCACCACCTGCCTCCAGGCAGAACACTCAGATGTCAAGGTTTCCCATCTGTTAGGTCCCTTCCTAAGACCTTCAGATCCCGCTTGCAGATATCCTTGCATCGCAGCTGTGGTCTCCCTCTAGGGCACTTTCCCTGCACTAATTCTCCATAGAGGAGATCTTTTGGAATCCGACCATCAGCCGTCAACACAGACATTGCTGTTTCAGTAATGTATACATGCTAAAAATTCCAGCTCTTTCTAGGACTACTCTATTTGGAAATTTGTCCTGCCAGATGATACCAAAAAAGCATTGGAGAAAATGCATATGGAAATCCTCTCCCGCCATGCACAAAGGGTCCAGGAATCACTGCAGTACAGGAGTGCACTCAGGACACAGGCTCTATAGACCTGGATCTTGGTATATGCCATCAGCTTCTTATTAAGCCATACTCTCATATTCAATCATACCACTGAAACACTGATAAATGGAGGTGGTAGCAAAAAATAATCAAAACCAAAACAAAACCACGCAACTTTACCTTAGTTGAATTGCACGATGGGGTGTCCTGGATCAAATTGTTCTATAATAAATTAGAACACAAGCAGAAACATTTTAATTTAGGTGTTTTTGCATTTATCTTTTTCACATACTAATTGTACTTAAACACTGCTCTATTGTAAAGCAGAAATTATAATCTGGGGTTGTTGTTGTTGTTTGCCTTATATGAGATCTTCTAAATATGATACTATGTGACAACTGACAAGAAAATTCTCTTTCAGCTATGTCGGTTAACCAGAATGCCAGATTAAGGACTCTGGGATTGCTTTCTTAATTTTGCAGACCATTTCAAGTAACAAGCTATAACTTCATCATAGTTTTTCACTACCCATCCCAGTTGGAGATAGTCCCATACACCTGCAGTTTGTTTGTTTTTTGTCTTTATTAATAATCATCCTGTGCCATCAAGTCAATTCTGATTTATGGTGACCCTTTTCAAGGTTTTCTTGGTACAGAGTAATCAGAAGCAGTTTACCATTCCAATCACTTAGGCCTGTGTAGCTTGTGGCATGCACAACGGGGATTTGAACTCTCAGCCTCTGGCTCTGCTGCCAGATACCTAACCCACTACTATACGAGGTTGGCTCTTCTGGCATGCACAGCGGGGATTTGAACTCTCAGCCTCTGGCCCTGCTGCCAGATACCTAATTGACTGAGCTATCCAGCCAGGATTGCCTTTATTAAAGCAATTCCATATTAAAAGAAGGCAAACAAGTTGTGTGTGAGTCAGCTTCTGGGAGTTCCTGGGAAAGTTAAGGAGCTCTCAGATAAAGCACACTTTATGTGTCTTGTTTTAATACAGAAGTGCACCATGTAAAGGCAAAAACAGCAATAACAAAAAAAGCCATGCAGAAATGGCAGCAGTAGTGAGGACCTGTGTGTATATCCATTTTCGCAAAAAACTAACCAAGAATATAATGTACAACTGAGATTCACAGTAACTTATTTGGAAGGCCTGCTGATTAGAAATCTGAATGATTAGAGGTGGAAAATAAGCAAGCTGGGTGAGTGGGAGGAATATAAATACTGTTTTAAAAGCCATCCATATTTCTAGCTCACAAACTTTACAAAATGCATTAACAATGGATCTGGTGGGACTATCCTTCCTGCAGCTGGTAAAAGCTGGTATCATTTGCTTTCACTTTCCATTAATCCTGGCTTGCATATACATACCAATCAAAATGAATTTATCTTGTTTTGCTTTGAAACCAGTCTCCCTTCTTCACATGGAAAAACAAGCCAGCAACAGATATTGAAACTAAACTGACCCCTTCATCAGATCTATTAGAGGGGGGAGGGGAACTAAATCTGAAGGGGAATTTAGCAGTTTTAGAAAGGAAAATCTACCAACTCAACAAAGAACACATACAAACCCACACATTTCAACTGGATTTCACTGTATTAATACTGTAATCCTCAGCACCTTTATCCAAAAGTCAATCTATGTCTGCAAACTCAACCATATATATGAGAAAGGAAGCATTACTGGATACAATGGAAGTTATTTCTAAGTAAATATGCATAGGAATATGCATATTTTCAAGGACCATTTCTAGCAAGGGAAGGATTCACCCCCAACCTAAATCAGTGAGGAATGGAAATTCAGCTAATATTATTTCCACAAGTCATACTTCCTCCTCCAATTCCCCCCCCCCAAGCCAATACATGTACAGTAGGAATCATGCTGGGGGTGGGCCGAAACTATTGGTGCAAATAAATGTTTCTTTTCTAAGCTTAATGGCAGAGAATGTTTCTTCTAGAACAGGGGTGGGCAATTAATTTCTATAGGGGGGGCCACATGAAAAATCTGAACTGTGTTCAGGGGGTCAAACCAACTTTGCTTAAAAATAAAATGAAACATTGATGTTATGATTGTTTTTATTTCAAACTTGTTAATCTTCACAAATATTAAAGAGGTTTTTGTGGTATGTTAAAGATAAGCAACTGATCAACTTTAGACAAAAAGCTATAAATGGTTTTGATGTTCAAAACTGTCCGCGGGCCGGACAAGAGCGGCTTGCGGGCCGTATGTGGCCCTTGGTCCACACTTTGCCCAGGTCTGTTCTAGAAGGAACAGTGAGAGAGTATAGTAGGAGAGGGAAAGAAGTGGGGAAGAGATTAGAAAATTAATAAAGGAAATCCTCATCCATCTCACAACGACTGTCAATGCATAAGTTCATAACATGCCGCAAAGCACAGATCAAAGAAAGAGCAACCTCCACAGATAAACAATTCACTAAACTGATCCATATTACTTAAGCAAACCATAAATTATGCTCCTTTTCTGTTTGCTTTGTCATTCTACTTTACAAAGGCAAGCTTAATAAAACACAGGTGACCACAAGATAGCAAACCTTGTTTCAAAAGCATTCAACAAAAGTCCAGTTTATCTTAAGATTCAGTTACAGTAGTTTCACTTTTCAAAATACACTACTTGTTCATTCATGCCTTGGCAGTTAAAATGAGTTCGTACATTTGAGGACACAGAAATACCAGTGTTTTTTATTTTAATAGGGATTAGTTGTTTTATTTGACTGTAATAATCTTTGACTATGTTCTTTATGCTAAAGCTTGAGCAATATAAACTGATTCTATGAAGCTCTATTTTACTAATAAAAAATTAATCATAAAAATCCTTACAAAGGACTGCTCTCTTAAACAGCAGGGTCTGGCTAAATCCAGGAGGTGGAGAGGGCCACAAACTAGCTATCATTGAGAGTCCTACCTAACTAAGCTGTTGTGAATTCTAAGGAATTACAAAGCCCATGTGTCTGTACTTGCGAAGTACTGGGTAAAAGCAAAGTGTTCTTTTAGGGTCAGACTTGTTCAAGGGGCTTACACTACGCACTGCTGACGTCTTAGGACTTGCCTCAGTGCAAAGGTGGCAAGTAAGTGGCCCGTGGAACTCTCTGACCGAGTGCTAGGCACTCCTTAGGGAGGCTTGTGTACCACAGTGGACTGCAAATAAACTGGGGGAAACTCCATCCCTAAGGACAAAAACCAAAGGCATTAATTTCTAAGCTGAAAACGATAGTTGCTATTTAGTAAGCTGTTGTTGCTAGCAATGTGCTTTCTAGCCATATGCCAAAGACCATGATGCCTGAAAATAATTGGTGGAAAATGTTGTGCTAAAACTGGAACAAGGACTTGAACACTTGCTCATCATTGATGACAAAGGGTGTGGCGAGACAATGTTGAAAAAAACTGTCAGCTGTGAGATTTTTTCACTTTCACTTGAGAGCAAAAAGCTTTCTTTTTGTCAGCAGCTTGAGTTTTTTTTTTTAAGTGGTTGTCCCAAGTTGTTGAATTTACTTCTGCGAAAGGCTAGGCTACCTGGATTCTCCCTGCTCAACTTCCATCAGTAGGTAAGTAATTTTCTTGTTAGGTAGAAAACAACTTGCTGGTAAGGAAAGATGTTTCAATGAGGAAAGCTTGTTGTTGTTTTTAAATCTTTTAAAATGTACTTCTAAATTACCTTAAATAGTTCCTATTCAGCAGGTTTAATTTGTAATATGTTTACATTTTTGATATTGTATTTTTAGCTGTTAAAATATTTTTTTAAAAAAATGCTTTGAAAGCTGCAGTGAATCTTTTTGTAGGTGGAAAATAAGGTGTTAAATAAACACACAGAGAGGGATAATTTGTGTGTATGCATGCACACAAAAATCCTTTCCTGCAAAGTTCATACCATGTATGCCAAAATGGGAAAAAAGCAGAGAAAAGCTTACAATCTCGGCAGGGGAGGCATGATTTGCACGATATCTGAAGAGATGCATCCCTATGCTATACAGTACAATGGTGCCTCGACTTACGAACATTTCGAGTTATGACCAGCTCCGGCAGCATTAATTTGCTTCTACTCGTGACCGGAGCTTCCACTTACAAACAGAAAAAGGCAGGGGAAAAAGGTGGGAAATTCAAATTTCTAACTATAGGTGGCAACGAGGCTGCTTCTTTGTAGCTCTTTTGCCCCAGCAGTTAGAGAGTGTGTGTCAGAGGAGGCTTGGAACTGCCTCACTTCTGCTTCTGAGTGTGTGTGTGTGTGTTTGAAGGGAGGCTTTGGGCTGCCTGGTAAGGCAAGGTGCTGTTTTCTGCTTTTTAAAAACTATTCTGGGTGTTTTTGCAGTGTGGTTTTGGGCTGGGGGGGTATGCTTCTGTGCTGTAATGGGTCTTGGGCGGTTTGATTGTTTTTTGGGTTCCCCCCCATTTCCGATGGGTCTTGGGGGTTTTGTTGCTTTTTGGAGGTTTTTTCCCCCATTTCCAGTGGGTCAGGGGGGTTGTTTGTCTGTTAGGTTTTTTTCCCATTTCCGATGGGTCTTGGGGGTTTTGTTGCTTTTTGGAGTTTTTTCCCCCCCATTTCCAGTGGGTTCGGGGGGTTGTTTGTCTGTTAGTTTTTTTCCGATTTCCGATGGGTCTTGGGGGTTTGTTTGTTGGCTTCCCCCCCATTTCCAATAGATCTTGGGGGGTTTGTTTGTTTTTTTGGGTTCCCCCCATTTCCGATGAGTCTTGGGGGGTTGTTTGTTTTTTGGGTTCTCCCCATTTCTGGGGGTTTGGTTGCTTTTGGGGGGGTTCCCCATTTCTGATGGCTCCTGCTTACTTCACTTGCTTTTTCCTTTGTTTCCTTTGCATTTCTGACCTGTCCCCTTTGTTCTCTGTGCACTTCCAATCTGCTCCATTTGTTTTCTGTGCATTTCCAATGGGTTTTGCATGCTTGATTGCTTTTCTTCCCCCCCCCCTTCTGCTGGAAGGGATTAATCACATTTCCAATGAGTCTTGCAGTAATTTTTTTGGTGATTATTTTTTCTTCGGCCGGAACGGTTTTGAGTTACAAATCAAGTCCAAGTCATGGGGGGGGGGGGAAACACCTCAAGTCACCAATGTGAATTAAGTCAAACTTGACAGTGAGTCCCGCGACTCGGGTCCCCATCCCTGACTCCCTTACTCCCCAACCCCCATTTGCCAAATATCTCCTCTTGAAACAATGACAGTGCTTCTTTCTTTCTTTCTTTCAAAAGAAAGAAAGAAATTATTGGCCAATTTATATTTAAACCGTGCATGGAAAAGTTACCTTTCTGGTCTACCAGTCCCAGATCCACTTAGCCAGCATGGACACATCCATGTGTCAGGGGGCCTCTGGAACCTGTAGTCCAAAAGGACATATTTCCAAGGTAGGGCACCCAACTCTCCAAATCTTAGAATTCACTCACCATGAATAATACTGATTAGCACCCTCCACAACTTTCGTGGAGTCAGAATCATGCCTCAAGAGGCGGATATCTCATCCACCCTTATTTTTGCATAATAATCATATAAATAGCAGCACTTGAATAGTCCACTGTTTTCTGTGGACTCATGGTTATCCGCAACATTCCATTATCACCACACCATAGCTAAATGTATGAGTAATATAGGCAAACACTGGCAATAGCCATATGAAGAGTTGCAGCCAATTCAGAAGCTGAGACATTTTTCCTTCTTGAAATAAGAGATTTCGAAGAAGTGCAAAGGAAATGGAAGAATGTTTCTTCCAAATTAACAATATTAATGTTCATTTCTATTACTCCACAGTGCTGATCTTATTATCCAAATACTTGGTTTCTAAGAGTTGTTGTCCATGAACATCTGGGGACCAAGGTTGGGAACCACTGCCCTTGAAAGTTCCCAGTGAATCCCCAAATTGCCTGCCCTGCTGTAGCATGAATCTCAAAATGGATAGCAATCAGAAATATTAGCTGCTAGGAACAAAGATTTTAACCCTTTTTTAAAATATATGCTTTACATTTTGAATAGGTATAGGGGAAAATAGGATTTTCAAGGTAAGTGAGATATTTAAGGAGTGGTTTACCAGTTCCACCCCCAGTGAGTTTCCACGGCTGAGCAAGGATTTTAATCCTGTTTGTTAGAGTCCTATTCCATCACTCTATCCACTACACCACTGGTTCTTAACCTTGGGTTACTCAGGAGTTTTGGACTGCAACTCCCAGAAGCCTTCACCACCAGCTGTCCTGACTGGGGTTTCTGGGAGTTGCAGTTCAAAAGCATCTGAGTAGCAAAGGTTAAGAACCACTGCACTACACCCCATTGGGGTTCCCAAATAAACAATTAAGGCACCTTATATAATCCTTAGTACTTAAAACTCTGTGAATAACAATGGAGTCTTAGATTAGAAACTGACAAGTAGAAGTTTCCTGTTCAAATGAACACAAGGGGGAAAATATTTCCAGTGAACCTTATTGAAGAAAACAGACAATGCAGAGATTGATGGTCATATTTTGCATTATCAGATAAAAAATAACTACTCTTGGGAGCATGAGGGCATGAGGAGGAGGGCACAAAAAGAGCTTGAGACTATATGCAGCACATGAAATGCACTCTGCCGGCTCTAGTACATTTAATTTAATCTTCTGTTGAAATCACTGATATTATCATTTTTTCTTTTTTATATTGTCACCTGTTTGAAGGGTAATAGGTTACATGTCAAACACATAAGGGCATGAGATTGTATGTTACATAGATAAATGTATTCAGAGTAAATTCAAAATACTGCATTTATTTGAAGATATTGCATCCCCACAAAAAAAATCTAATTTCCATTATGCAAGGCACTGAGGTTACCAGCATTAAAAATAGAAATAAAACTGCCCACATAAATATATAATGTGGCCAAAATTCAATTGAAAACACTATGTCCGTAAGGGAAATAGCACAGCAAATTTTATCCTCTGGTGGGCTGTCCTTGGCATGATTAGTCACATGTCACAATTTTAAAATAAGAATGAACCCAGTAAAGCAAAAGGAAGTATATCAATGCTGGGATGGGGAGAGAGACAGTCCTTCTGCAATCACAGCACTGAACAGCATTCCGGCTGCTAACTTCAATTCTCTTAAACATATCTATCTATCTATCTATCTATCTATCTATCTATCTATCTATCTATCTATCTATCTATCTATCTATCTATCTATCTATCTATCTATCTATCTATGCATATATACATGTATATGTATATATAATACAACAAATATAAATATGTATATGTATATATATAAAATGCTACCTACCAGGTAAGTAATGAAGGGGAATAACACATTCTCATACTCTTCTTGGATTGCCTTCATGCAAAGGGATGGCGCATCTGGCACCAGAACTAGGTACAGGAGTAGAATCCGAAAGATATTCCTTAAAAGAGCTAGATTACAAAATTACACTGAATTAGTACCAACATGGTATGTGCTTAGTTTGCAGTCATGGCATTCCTTATAGCAATGGTCTCCAACCTTGGCCAGGATTTCTGGGAGTTGAAGTCCAGGAACATCTGGAGGCCCAAGGTTGGGGACGACTGCCTTATAGGACATATGTAATGAATAACTGCTCAGCAAAATTATTCAGCCCCAGAAACAGGCACTGACGATGTAACTAGAGATTGTAACAAATAGCTACCTCGTATAGAGGGTGGAAAAATCTCTTGTTAAATTCTAGTGAAGGACAAAGAATTCACTTAACACATTTCTCTATGGATTTCACTAAATTGTTGAAAATACATTACCCATATAAAACTGGATTAATGACATTCTGTTGGTTCTGTTGTGACATAAAGTTAGATCAGCAAAAGCCTGCCAGGTATTACACCAGGACAGCAAGCACTGTGCAACTCAATTGCATAATCAATTGTGCGCCTGTTGTGACTCTTGATTGATGCTCACAGAAGTGCTTCATGAATATTTCCACCCTGCCCCATTTTTGCTACTGTTGCCACAGTTTCACATTGTGCACACAGAGTAGCACAAGATTTCAACCACTGAATGATTTATTATTGAAGGTCTTAATTAAATTACACTTTGTGTGCCTTTATGCATTTATTTGTGTATACAGTCTGTCCTTTACCTGAAATTTTCTGTCAAGACTGCCCTGAGTTCTTTTTTTGCCTTTGGGCATAAAGATACATGTTTCAAGAACTACAATACCTTTCATAAATGATGCTACCATAAGCGATTTATCTGTTAGGAAGCTGGCTTCAGAGTTAAAAAAAAAAAAAGCATGTAGACCAGAATCCTGTTAAAGCCATGGAGCAAAGAAGGGCAATCAAGGGAACAGTGTGGGCTACTGAGCAAGCAGTCCACTATAAGCCTGATCATGCCGTGGTACACGCCTGATCATAAAATCAGCTGCATACCCAGCTGCATGATGGAGAACCTACAAGACATGAAATTGCAATTATGTGTGCGGTAAACCCCAACAGGATTCTGGCCTGAGTCTGTTTATTTGTTTATTACTTTTATTTATATACTGTCCCATTAGTGCCATGGCACAATTCTGAGTGGTTTACAGTTAAAACAAACTACACAAAGCTAAATGCAACATAAATACCAAAGACATGATCCAAAAACTTAACAACCACTGGTGCCAACCAATTTTCAGAGTAAGTAAGAATACCAAAGACATGATCCAAAAACTTAACAACCACTGGTGCCAACCAATTTTCAGAGTGAAGTAAGACTGGAGGTGAGGCCTTCAACTGGGGTCAATGTAAAAGGCCTCCCTGGGAAGTACTGTTTTTAACTGCTGCCTAAATGAGTACATGGAATCAACTTCTAGAGGTGTAGCTCTTCTAGGGGTTTATTCCATAACATCAGTGCTGCCGTCAAGAAGGCCCTACCTCTAGTAAATGACTTTTGGACCTCTCTCAGGGTGGCTACACAGAGCCAGGCCTGAGGTCTGATGAGTCAGGCAAATGACATTGTGGAAAGATGCTCCAACTGGTAAGGTGGTCCCAAACTGTGCAGGGCTCTATAAGTGACTGTCAGAAACTTGAACCTGAACCAAGGCACAATAGGTAGCCAGTAGAGGCTGGCCAGCACTGGGGTGATATGATGAAATTTTCTCACACCAGACATTAGTCTGGTTGCTGCATTCTGCACCACTAGAGTCTCTGGGTCAGTCTCAAGGTCAGCCCCACGTAGAGAGCATTGCAGTAGTCGATCCAGAAGATGACTAGTGTCTGCACCAACATCCTGAGGGAACCTCGTCTAGGTAGTGGCTGGACTGGGCAATAAGCCTAAACTGATTAAAAGCAGATCTGGACATGGCTGCAATATGGGAATCCCAAGAAGGATCTGGGTCCAGAAGAATGCCCAAATTACAAACTTGATCCCTAACCAGGAGGCAATGCCATCCATTTTGGGGATGATCCCCCTCACACTTTGCAGAGGGTCCTCCCAAGAACATAAGCTCAGTCTTGTCTAGATTCATTTTGAGCCTCTCTGTTCTGGTCTATTCCAGTACCGAAGCCAGGCATCACTCTAGCACTTCGACAGCCTCCACTGAAGAGGTGGTAAAGGAGAGATAGAGCTGCATGTCACCAGCATACTGATGACACCTTACTCTGAATCTCCTGATGATCTCCCCTAGTGGCTTAATATAGACATTAAACAGCCTTGGGGATATTGATGATCCCTGGGACACCCCACAATTGAGGGTCCAAGGAGCCAACAACTCATCTCCAAGCTGAACTCTCTGGACACACTCCTTGAGAAAGGACTGGAGTCAGCTTAATGCTTGGCCCCTGATCCCAATCTCTGAGAGCCTGTCCAGAAGGATACCATGGTCGATGGTATCAGAAGCCGCTGAAAATCAAGGAGAAGCAGCAGGGTAGAATGACCCCATTGGCCTCCCGTAAAAGGTGCAGTGCAACCATGGTTTTCTCAATACTTCACTGTGGCCTGAATCTGGACTGAAAGCAATCCTGGTCAAAGCAATCCTGCTCCTCCAGATATGTCTAAGCTAAGTGACACTCAGTTTCTCATTATTGATGTCAGGGTGGAACTATCACTCACAACGTGGACAACAGATCATCCCAATTAGTTGCTAGGACTATTCCACCTGACTAAAACATGAACTTGCCTTTAGATAAATAAATTGATTATTGGGTGATTATTTTCCTTGAATAGAATTCATATTATACTGAGATATTTCAACTCTCCAAGAGAGACAGAAAGACTAACTCTAAATGGTAATACGTGCTACACCTGACATTTCTGCTCTTTAATCAGAAACACAGAAAGTCAGTAACAGAGGTATATAAATGTGTTCATCATCTAAGTCTGGCAGGGTACTATGCAACCTATATTTAGATCTACCAGTATTGTCAACTAGTGTGAATAGATATGAAACCACTGTTTCATCTAGGGTGCAAAACTAGCATGTGGGCATGAACTGAGAGATACATCATTGTCAAAGAGCACGTTATAGTTATATATAGATTAATGTTTACCAACCTGGGGGTCATGATGCCCAAGGGGGTCATGAAGTGTGTGGGGGGGGTTGTGGGTCACCTTATATGTGTTATAAGGTTAAAGGTTCCACTTCACATTTAGTCCAGTCGTGTCCAACTCTAGGGCACAGTGCTTATCCCTGTCTCCAAGCCACAGAGCCAGTGTTTGTCTGTAGACAGCTTCCATGGTTACGTGGCCAGTGTGACTAGACACGGAACGCCATTACCTTCCCACCACCGTGGTACCTATTTATTTATTTGCATTTTTACATGCTTTCGAACTGCTAGGTTGGCAGGAGCTGGGACAAG